GAACAAGATCATCAAGTTCCTCAGCTTTATGTGGAATCCTTTGTCCTGGGTGATGGAGGCAGCAGCAGTGATGGCATTGGTTCTAGCAAATGGTGGTGTAAGTGCTTGCTTTGTGTTATTGAAATATTGACATCAAATCGTCGAAAATTTGTGCAAGCAACTCAATGGATTTTCTTTATTATTCACTCATTTACTGTCTTTGGTCAGAGCCAAGGTACTGACTGGGAAGATTTCCTGGGAATTGTCTGCCTCCTGATTATCAATTCAACAATCAGCTTCATTGAGGAGAACAATGCAGGCGATGCTGCTGCTGCACTCATGGCCCGGTTGGCGCTAAAAACAAAGGTTTTTTTTTTCTGAACAGAAATTTTAAAAATACAGGTGAATCTATTGTGTTAGTCTGATCTTGTTGTGTTCATATATTCATGGATTTACCTCCAGGTTCTTAGAGATGAGCAATGGCAAGAGCTTGATGCTTCTACATTGGTACCTGGGGATATTATCAGCATCAGGCTTGGTGATATTGTCCCTGCAGATGCGCGCCTACTTGAGGGAGATCCTCTGAAGATTGATCAGGTGACTCAAATTGCCGCGCACCGTTCATGTGGAAGATATCGATAATTGGAATGACTGATTTAGTTGATCTGTGTAGATAATTTGATTACATTTTGTTTCTCCTCCATCTTGTAGTCAGCTCTCACCGGTGAATCCCTTCCTGTCACAAAAAGAACAGGGGACATAGTGTTCACTGGCTCAACATGCAAGCATGGTGAGATTGAAGCTGTTGTCATTGCAACTGGGATACACTCTTTCTTTGGCAAGGCAGCTCATCTAGTGGATTCCACTGAGGTTGTTGGGCATTTTCAGAAGGTGATTCATCGATCTTCAGACTGTAATAAGAATCTCACAAGTGGATGTGCTGTAAGCTATTTCTGACTACTGAATTTTCAGGTTCTTACCTCCATAGGCAACTTCTGTATCTGTTCAATCGCCATCGGTGCGATTGTTGAGGTTATAATCATGTTCCCAATCCAGCACCGGTCATACCGGGATGGGATCAACAATGTTCTTGTTCTTCTGATCGGAGGGATACCGATCGCAATGCCTACTGTTCTGTCAGTCACACTTGCAATAGGTTCTCATCACCTGTCTCAACAGGTGTGCCAAGATATTGTTATCATGTTTCTGCAATTAACAGACAGCATATCACATATCATTGTTACAAAAATACGTAGTAATTTGGCGAAAGCGATGGCGGAGGAAGCCATGCTTTGGAAGTCGGCAAATGCAGGGGTCCCTTCCGTTACCTCTGCGAGGTCGTGGTAGCCAAATCTAGCACGAGATATCCCCATTAGATCCCCAGCCTCCAATACCGGTCCCGTGCTTGTTTTTCTTTTCGCATTGTAAATAACTTTTATTTCTCTTAATGGAAAAAATACGCTCCTTGCGTATTCCCGGAAAAAAATATGTAGTAATTGATTTTTGGCAGGGTGCTATCACTAAAAGGATGACAGCCATAGAGGAAATGGCAGGAATGGATGTTCTCTGCTGTGACAAAACCGGAACTCTCACCCTCAACCATCTCACTGTTGACAAAAACCTAATTGAGGTAGAAAAATTAATTAAAAAAATGCAACGTATTGAATTCATAATTATTGACTAGCTATACAACTTATGATCCATCCTTGGGTAATTTAAGGTTTTCAGCAGAGAAATGGACAGGGAAATGATTATCCTGCTGGCTGCAAGAGCATCAAGAGTGGAGAATCAAGATGCAATTGATATGGCCATAATAAACATGCTAGCTGACCCCAAAGAGGTTCTGAACTCATCTTTGCTTGATTTGACCATCCTACATATATTTCAGAATGGTTCATGGATATCATCTTTGCATTGCCAGGCACGCTCTAGCATCACTGAAGTTCACTTCCTTCCATTCAATCCTGTCGATAAGAGGACGGCTATAACATACGTTGATTCTGATGGTAACTGGTTCAGAGTCAGCAAAGGTGCTCCTGAGCAGGTAGGAACTTTTCAATCCATCACTGTAAATCTCACTGCTGTTACCATCAGAATTCAGAAAATAGTAATACAGACCTTGATCAGATAGGAAGAACATCTGATGTCTCTCATCTTCAGATCCTCAGCCTATGCTACAACAAGGATGATATCTCTGAAAAGGTGCAGCTAATCATCGACAGATTTGCAGAGAGAGGCCTCCGTTCACTCGCCGTCGCTTACCAGGTAGTCGTAGCACCATCAAGTTCAGTTCAGTTCAGTTTACTTGTTGCTAATGAATATCTGTCTGATGGTTGAGTTCATCTGATCTGATGGCTTGAGTGAAGGAGGTGCCAGAGAAATCGAAGCACGGCCATGGCGGACCATGGGTGTTCTGCGGCCTCCTGCCGCTGTTCGACCCGCCGCGGCACGACAGCGCCGACACCATCCGCCGAGCGCTTGATCTTGGCGTCTGCGTGAAGATGATCACCGGTATAATCACGCGATGATCGTACTGCTTCTTGATCGTCAATGGAGCAACGCCAAGAAGCTTCTTGATCATTGCAGGCGATCACCTGGCCATCGCGAAGGAGACCGGCCGCCGTCTTGGGATGGGCACCAACATGTACCCGTCGGCGTCGCTGTTCGGCCGCCACGGCGACGGCGGCGGCGCGGCTGTTCCGGTGGAGGAGCTCGTGGAGAAGGCGGACGGGTTCGCCGGCGTGTTCCCGGAGCACAAGTACGAGATCGTGAGGATGATTCAAGGGGGGGGCGGCCACGTGTGCGGGATGACCGGCGACGGCGTGAACGACGCGCCGGCGCTGAAGAAGGCCGACATCGGCATCGCCGTCTCCGACGCGACGGACGCCGCGAGGGGCGCCGCCGACATCGTGCTCACCGAGCCCGGCCTCAGCGTCATCGTCAGCGCCGTCCTCACCAGCCGCGCCATCTTCCAGCGGATGAAGAACTACACGGTGAGCTAGTTCTTGGACACTCTCACCTCATCACCTGTAAAAATTCACCTCTCTTTTGCTTGATTCACATTCTCACAGAGTTCTTCTTCGCTGCAGATTTATGCAGTGTCCATCACTATAAGGATAGTGGTAAGCGAAACTGGAATTCATCATCACAAAATTCTCCCAAAAATCTCGTCATTGATCGTCTTGTTTGGATGCAGATTGGATTTGTTCTTCTGGCATCAATTTGGGAGTACGACTTCCCTCCGTTTATGGTTCTGATCATAGCCATACTAAATGACGGTGATGATCATTTTTCTCTGAATTTTACTGCATCAAAAGCAGGAATAGACACTCGATTTATTCAGTACTTGATGGTTGGGCATCTACTTTGATCAGGAACTATCATGACAATATCAAAGGATCGCGTGAAGCCATCACCAAGCCCAGATAGCTGGAAACTGAATGAGATATTCGCAGCTGGAGTTGTCATAGGAACCTACCTTGCATTGGTAACCGTGCTGTTCTACTGGACAGTCACAAGAACAACCTTCTTTGAGGTAAAATCTTGCAACCTCTGAAGAATCTGAACCTGAACATGAGAACATCTTGTTGGTAAATCAACAGCCGAAGCTTTTGTGTGTATGAATTGCAGTCTCACTTCAAGGTGAGATCTCTGAAGCAAAATTCCGACGAGATCTCGTCAGCGATGTACCTGCAAGTCAGCATCATCAGCCAGGCCCTGATATTCGTCACACGCAGTCAGGGCTTGTCCTTCCTCGAGAGACCTGGAGCCCTGCTGATTTGTGCTTTCATCCTAGCACAATTGGTAAATCTGCAGAAGATTTTCTGAACTCTGAAACAATCAAAAAAAAACTTCTGCTGCTAGTAGAAGGTTTCTGAATTTTTCTCAGTAACGGATGATGAGTTTCTTGATCTGCAGGTGGCTACACTGATCGCCGTGTACGCAACGATCAGCTTCGCGTCGATCAGCGCGATCGGGTGGGGATGGGCGGGCGTGATATGGCTGTACAGCCTGGTGTTCTACGCCCCCCTCGATCTGATCAAGATCGCCGTCCGCTACACGCTCAGCGGCGAAGCCTGGAACCTGCTGTTCGACAGGAAGGTGGGTACAGTAGCAGCATGATCTGTTCTTGGGTAGTTGGATTCCTTCCTCATTCAGAGCTCGCCCATGGCTTCAGTTCAGATCTGTGCCGGCCATGGATGAATAATGAATCTGTTCGTTCTTCAGGCCGCATTTGCGAGTAGGAGAGACTACGGCGGCAACGAGCGGCGGCCGGAGACCAGGTGGCCGCGCTCCCATCATCATCATCATCAACAACGGAGGGCGCTTTCCGATCATCTCCTCAGCAGCGGATGGCGGCCTACGCGGATCGCGGAGCGAGCCAAGCGACGGGCAGAAATCGCCAGGTACAAGAACTGTTTGAAAAACTGGAGGATTCCCCGGTCTTTCCTTATTAAGATTCAGATTTTACCTCGGTTTTCGGTAGTAAATTTTTCAAACTACTAAACGGTGTGTTTGTGCGAAAACTTTCTATATAGAAGTTACTTTAAAATATGAAATATATCCATTTGTCAAGTTTATAAAAATTAAAACTTAATTAATTATGTGCTAATGTTTTTTTTCGTCTTTCCTTTTTTTTTGGTTGGCTTGCAGATTGGGAGATGCACATATGCTGAGAGCGCATGTGCAATCTGTGATGAGACTGAAGCGTGTGGATTCTGACGTAATTCGATCGGCTCAGACAGTTTGATTTGCTTGGGTTTTAGCATCATGACGTTGTATCTTCAGATTTCAGAGTAAAATTACCATAGCTTTTTGCATGCAAAATGTCAGAAACTTGTACGGAACAGGTCGAATTTTTGTTAAATGACAAGTGATGATATATGAGCTTGTACCTGATGATTGAGTCTCTTGTAACCTCCATTGAAGCATTTGCTTTGTAGTTGTACTACTGGTCTTGTTAACAACCAGTGAACCTGATGCTATACTTAGCAGCACTATGCTTCTTTGGATCTTTCAGATGATATAACCAAATAATCTACTACCATGATGGCATTAATGAACAATCAGGAATTCAGAATACTGTTCTGTAGACAGGATACAATGGCACACCTGGTCCTACAATATATCAAGCAACACCTGTGATTATGTACTGATGAAACTGACTTTCTTTTCTATTTCTCCTTCCATTCTTCTCTCCAATAGGCGATAGGCGAACAAAATAAATACAATTTGAGATGTAACAGGAAAAGCTAGGGGTGTAGTTTTTGTCATATGAAATCTTGTTCTTGGTCGTCTGTTCGGCGCGACGAAGTATCTCCGTCGAGCATTCTCTTCGTCATGTTGGCCCTCTGGACAAGACGAACCAATGCTTGCACCACCTCTGACATTGGTGGCCTGAATTCTGGTTCAGGCTGTAACATGAATTTGTTTCATAAGATTCAGACATTCTGTTCCATGTATTAGGTAATTAGTATTGCATAGCTCATCTGCATAGGATGGTGAAATCCTACCTGGACACACAAAGCGAGCACGTCGGCAAACCGGGAGAGAGACTTGGCAGGGTACAGACCCTTCAGCGCAGGATCGACCATTCTGTCCAATGCATCGATGTCATGGAGCTGTGGAGTCGCCCACCGCACAAGTGACTGCTCTGACCTCGGTCTAGTGCTGTAATGCAAAGTCACACGATTATACCGAGGTTCATCAGTTAGCACTAAATTTATAGTTATGCGCAAGCTGGAAACTGGTTACGACTGATGAGAAGATCAAGTTACCTATCGAAAGGTCTGCGTCCCGTCAAAAGCTCTAGCATGACTACTCCAAAGCTGTAGACATCGCTCTTCAGTGTGTACTGACCAGTCATGTCCACCTCTGGGGCAGTGCACCCAGCACTCTGTTGCGCTGCCTGCATAGTTTTTTTTTTCCGTGACGAACATTAATACAATCACTAGTGAATCAAGATGTATAAAAGGTGTGACATCATTGCCATAAACTTCTCTTTTCAATTAAGAAAATTAATACAGCCTCTACATGACTACATCAATTCGCCAACAATTTCTGTAAGTCCAGTAGTCAGTTTTCTTGGTAGTTTAGCAAGCGAAGGTTCATCTCAGTGCTATTTTTTTTTAATTAACACACAACTGTCCAAACAATTGTCCTCTTAAAATGGGTGCTTGGATATATCAGCAAGAGCCATACCTGGAATTCTGCATCAGAAATAAAGCTTGCAAGTCCAGCATCTGAAAGGTGTGGATTGAATTCTGAATCCAGTAGAAGGTTGGATGACTTGAAATTCTTATGGATGATGGATGGAGAACAAATTTCATGAAGATATCTACAGATTATATTTTCAGAGGAAATGATAAGATGTCACATATCATATTTCAAAATGAGCATAGAATTCTATATAAAAGGACTATTATTCCATAATGTATAACTGTCATCCACATTCAAACAAAGCATGAAACTAGCAACTGTCATTCTACACATAAACACAACATGCAAAGGATATTTCCAAGTTTAGCGAGATTCTGATGGTACGATATGGTTGACAGCAGTATTCTTACTTCAATTGCCATGAACAAAAGGATTGCTAATTAAATTTGTGAAACTAGTAATAAATCAGTTGGTTTGTAACTTTTATGGATAATGAATGAAAAGAAACAAGGCCCTTGTTTAGTTCAATCTGGACACACATGATGGCTAAAATCGTACAAAATTAATAACATGTAGTATAATGCCAAAACAGCAGATCAACATAATATGGAGAGATTTTTCACTTACTCCAGTGCACGGGCAGAGCCTAGTGCGATCTTGACACGAGAGTTCCAGCTAAGTGGCTTGCTGTATTCGTCTGAAAGATGGAGTAGATCATGGAGTGACCCATTCCTGTGGAAATCGTAAACAAGCAAGTGTTGCCCATGTTCCATGCAATAGCCCACAAGCTCATTGAGATTCGGATGATGCAGTTTTGAAATGTCTGAGACCAGTTCAGCAAAATCATCAGATGAATGGAATGGCATCACGGTACTATCAAGTTTCTTCACGGCCAGAACCTGAATAGTGTAAACAAGAAAAGTAAGCTCTCAGAATTTTGCCTATATCTAAATGTCCAACCTGTATCACCCTCGAAATAACTTCAAAAGCAAAAAGGGGAAATACGGTAACATAAAAACTGAAACTAACATTAAGAACTATACGGCCTCCAATTTATGAGGAATACTTCTATGCTCAATTGTTTCTGTTCATGAGGTCATGACAGATTTTAAGGCTTTTTTTTCTTAGCTTTGCATTTCCACCTTTTGACTAATGTGATAATGAATACACATGCTACCTTTCATTTACTTTGAGAAATATACAGGAATAGCAATAGAAAAAATTGTAGCATACCTTTCCACCAGTAAACTGTGCCCTGTATACACGTCCAAAAGTACCTTCCCCAACAAGGTTGTCCATGCTAAAGCTTTCTGTTGCCATCTGTAGATCTGCAACTGAATAAACAGTTGCCTTTATAGGTGCCACATTGGTTTTCTTCAAGACAGGCTTGTTTGATAAATCATCATCATCGAAAGACTTGTGGCGTTCAATCTTGGGGGGTGGCTTCAGACTAAATGAAGCAGGGGATGGCAAAGACTCTACATCTATTGTAGTAGACTCTTCAATAGGCTTCATGTCTGCACATTTTCAGAAGCAAATTTTCAGATAATTGTACAAAATATATAACAAAACTAAAGTATGATGATCAGCAAGGCATCAGGCAAACAGACCTTTAACTTCGTTTGAAGGGAACGAAGTGAATGGCTGGTGCTGTTCAAAATGTTCTTCCAATGCCGCTCTGCGTTTTCTTCTTCTTATCACAAAGAATGCAACGACTGCTCCAACTACCAGCAATGATATGATAATGCCTGCTACACCTCCACCACCTATCCCAGAGCTTCCACCAGAACTTGAACCACCATTGTTTTGACCTGGGCTGTTTGGACGGTTTGGTGGAGGTGGAGCTGAATACGGTGGAGGTGGTGGTGCTGGTCCATTACTCCAAGAATTTCCGTCAGTTCTGTACACAGGGATCTTATTAGTTCAGGGTACATCTCTCATACATTTTTACATGTTTATAAGCAAAGAGAACTCACTGTAGATTGTTTATCTTCTTAAGTTGACTAGGAATCCAGCCAGTGAAATGATTGTTTGCAACATTCCTATAGGAAAGCAAAGATATGAGATGTGGTACTGCACGTGCAAATAAAATATTAATTACTTATAGGTTGATTTCTTACAGATCATCAAGGGGGAGATTAGCAAGGACATTGATATAACCAGTAAATTGATTGTTCTGCAGATATCTGAGAAGAACGAGTATGGGATTACAGGCATGTCACTCCAAAAAGACATATCTATGAGAGAAAAACAATCATTTTCTTACAATTTCTTCAGGCTTGACAATGATGTGAACCCTTGTGGTAGGTCACCAGCAAGAGAATTAAAGGAAAGATCCCTGCATCACATCACATAGGGAAATGGAAAGTGAATATAGACATTAGGAATATGAACAACAAAGAAGGATTTTACAATACACAAGTTAAGACCCGTCTACAATCCACGCACACAAAAGTACTCACAGTGTTGTCAAGCTATAGAGGCTGGAAAATACATCAGTTATATTTCCTTGCAATTGGTTATGATTTAGATTTCTGCACATACAAAGAGAAAACATTTAGCTCTACCAAATTATACAAATTTAAAAGCAAAATCAACTTGATGTTTGCAAAGATACTCACAAATACTTAAGATTAGACATCGAGAAAATCGAGTAGGGTAAATTTCCAGTGAACTGGTTTCCTGCGAGATTGCTGCAAACAATAACCACTTAGCACACAGACACCAGAAAAGCTGATGTACTTTCTAAACCACAACTTCATTTGAGGAACTTACAGCCTCTCAAGCTTATTAGTGGGAAGATTGTACTGTATCTGTTGGCCACCACCAAGGTTGTTTTGGCTCATATCGCTGCATTAAAAAATCAATTAAGACTGTTATCAACTGAATTGTCACTTGACAGGATCAGATATGAATAATCTCAGATACTCACATCTCAATCAATGAACCCATGGTATTCATATTGTACGCCAAATTACCGGAGAGCCCCAAGCTTGGTAATTTGCTACAACATCAAACACAAAGAAAATATTGTAAGAAGTAAGAAAGAAGGTGGTCGAGTAAGTAGTAAACTACTTTGCTTCATGATGAGGCTCACATTGCAGTAACTGATGATCCTGAGCACGTGATACCCTGCCATGATTGGCCACAAGGGTCTCCACCACTTGCCTGCCAACCTTTGAGCTGCCCCGGAGAATTCAGGCTAGTGAAGAGCGTATTGAGGACAGTAACTGCATGAAAAAGAGCAAATAATTACTACACGTTTTTCGCCGGGCCTAATTGCAACACTGTATAATGCATGTCAGTATGTCACCAAACAAACACATTAGCAAACTTGAAATTTGAAGTGCCCATAGACACCAATGCATGGATTCAGATTTACAAGAGTAAATAGCATGACATCTTAAGAGGAAAATCGCAAAAAAGAAAAGAAAGAAAAAAAAAAGAAAGCTGAAATGCTCATAGCAATTTTTGACCAATTCTTGCCATGCTCCAACGAACAATAAGGCAAAAAAGAAGAGAAAAGGAGGGTCAAATCTAGAGGTAGGTGTAAGGAAAACGACTGCATTTTCTTCTTGGAACTGCTAAACTAAAATTTGTTCTCAAAAATTGCCCCTCGCAATCCAGACAATGTTTTGCACGAAATTCCTCCTCAATTGAGATTCAGCAAGCAAAAGTGCAACCATAACTGAGATAGCTAGGTACATAGCATAGGCCAAATTTGGTTAGTAGAAACAGCAGAAAAAGAATGGACATGCAAGATTTCCAACCGAATCCAGTGTATTTCCTTACTCGGATTAGCACAACTTAACTACCCCAGGGGCAGAAAGACCCCATTTTTATCAACCCAAAAATGAGAATTATAAGCTGCCGAAATTCACACACCATCTTGTTCACTATGTCGAACAGACGTAAATCAAGAGCATTCTTGCGCAAAGACCAGATTTCGCAAGTAAAAAATGAAGAAAGATTCGGTTAATCGGAAGCTTTCACATCCATTTCCCCGTTCCAAAACCGAATCTACAGAAAACTCCGTACAAACAGCGCCAGAATCAGCAAACCAGCCGGACGAACCGCAACAGAAAACACAAACACAGACATCGAGCGAAGAACTCCACCGATTAATCCAGCAGCTCTGAAACAAAAACAGAAAAGAAAAAAAGAAAGAACAATCGCGCAAAAAGGGGAGAAGATTCCAGATTCTAGCTTACCATCATTAGGGTCGGTGTCTGCAGCGACCAAGATTTGCTTCTGGGGCCAAATGCAGAAGCAGCAGGAGGAGCACAGGAGCAGAAGCGGCAGCCATGGCGCATCCGCTCTTCCCATCTTCTTCTTCTCCCCCCACACCAATGCTCACACGCTCTCCCCACTAAAAACGCAAAGAAAGGCGCTTTCCTCGCATGAAAGATCCCTTCTATAGCCTCCTCCCCACTGATTTCTTTCTTCCAATTAATTTACTTATCTTATCTCCTCCTGTATCTGCTGCTGCTTTCAGAGTTTCAACCTTCCTCCGTGTTCTTGAATCGCGCAGTGGGAAGTAGCGGAGCAGCAGCTGGCACCAGGACGGGGACAAGAACGATGAGGTCAAATCAATTGCAAGGTTGTCGCTTTCATCGAGGGGCTTTCTTGTGAATTCAGCAGCCGCGAAGGGCTCACATTCAATAGGAGAACATCAGATTCGGAGACGAATTCTTTTTCTTCAAAGAGAAAAGGTAAAAGGAAAGAGCTGATTTTTTAAGGAAAAGCTGACACATTCGACGTTTTTATTAGGATGCATCTACAACATTTTCACGAACAAGAAAACAAATCCGTTGCTCTACTTAGCTGTACTCCTATCATTCTTGGGAGGTTGGAATAAAAAAAAATTGCAGCAAAACCGCGCACAGATTCTGCTGTCAGCGCCGGGCCGATGGGCGGTGGGTTGGCCTTGGCCTGAACTCAGAACCGCAGAATTTGGGTTGGAATGCGTGACACATCTTTTGCATCTGGTACTCGTACTATAAACCTCCACCATCAGCTGATGCAAAAGAAATTCTTGCGTCAGGGTTACTGCTGCTGTACAATTTTGGACTCCATTAATCATCTCAGAGTACTACTAGTACTTACGGTACGTCGCATGCATGCAGAGCTGTACTAGCAGTCTACAGTAGCACTTGATTGTCAAATTCACTAATTGTACTTAGTGCTAATGGGCAATGCTACTTAGGGGGTGTTTGGATCAGGGGCTAAACTTTAGTATCTGTCATATCGGATGTTTGAACATTAATTTGGAGTGTTAAGCATAACAAAACTAATTATATAAATGAGAGCTAATTCGCGTGATAAAAATTTTAAGCCTAATTGATCCATAATTAGCACTAATCATGAATTAATTATGCTCAAAGTTTTGTTAATAGTCTATATTTAATACTTCTAATTAGTATCAAACATCCGATGTGATATAAACATAAATTAGTCCGTGATCTGAACAAGGCCTTGTATTATTTTCTAAGTAGAAAATGAAGAAGAAAGGCATCAATTATGCAGGGTGGAGTCGCCGTCGTGGCAAACATGGGTTCGGAGTAATCTGCATGTCTGCATAATTGCATTTTTCTGGCACCGCGTGTCATGGCGACAAGCTGGATGGATCCTACTCCCAATAATGGAGTTCTTTTTAAAAAAAACAAAAACAAAAGGAGAAGAACAAAAATAAATCTTGGAGGTCAAACATTGTACACTACTCAAGGGCGGATCCAACCCCTACACCCACAAGACCCATAGATACCCCCGAAACACCTTTTTTGATTTTTTTATCATGAATGGTAAACTAAAAAGTCCCTAAATGGCTGAAGATTAAAGAAAGTTACATGTAACTGAGTCTCCTCAAATTTTTTGTTACTTGGATCTGCCCCTGTTCACTGCTGTATATTTATATGTATGTATGACATGATTGTATTTCAACAGCGAAATTCACAAAAATGTGATCAGCTGGTAGTGGATCGGGACTCCTTACGCGCATCGTGAGTGGCATGATCTTCATGTCATGGCAATTTAATTACTAGCATTTTGTTATTTGCTTGGTGGGAATTTGTGACCTGATGGCCCATCGAAAATCTCTCAGAATTTTATGCCTTTTATCAGAAGCAAAATCTCCACCAGCCGATTAACCCTGCTGAACAAAGTTTCCCTTTTATCCAAAAAAACAAACTTAGGGGCTGCTTAGTTCCTCCAAAAACTTTTCCCAAAAACATCACATTGTATCTTTGGACACATGTACGTAGCATTAAATATAAGTAAAAAGAAAAACTAATCTTTTAAGCCTAATTAGTCCATAATTAGCCATAAAGTGCTACAGTAACCCCCGATGTGCTAATGATGGATTAATTAGGGTCAAAAGATTCATCTCGCGGTTTCCAGTCAAGTTATGAAATTAGTTTTTTCATTCGTGTCCGAAAACCCCATCCAACATCCGATCAAACGTACGATATGACACCAAAAATTTTCATTTCACCAACTAAACAAGCCCTTAGAATTGAATATGATATATCCTAGTACAACGAATTTGAATGATAAGGATGTGTTTAGTTCACGCTAAAATTGGAAGTTTGATTGAAATTGGAATGATGTGATGGAAAAGTTTAAAGTTTGTGTGTGTAGAAAAGTTTTGATGTTATGGAAAAGTTGGAAGTTTGAAGAAAAAGTTGGGAACTAAACCAGGCCTAACATGTGTGTGGGAATTCATGCCTGGTTTAGTTCCCAACTTTTTTTCAAACTTCCAACTTTTCTATTACATCAAAACTTTCTTACACACACAAACTTTCAACTTTTCCATCATCACATCGTTCCAATTTCAATCAAACTTCAATTTTGGTGTAAACTAAACACACCCTCCATGTTCGTTTTTTTTTAAACAAGGGAGTACTTACCAAAAAAAAACATTGTAGAATCTATGAATATGATCTAAGGGAAAGGGGATGGGCAAAACAGATATTACCCTTCAGTGTTGCTAATGATGATAAAGACCATGTTAACCTAACCAGTCAAATAAAAAATTCTGTGTTCCAAAGTACCCAAAATAAAAACTGGGAGCTAGTACTAGCTGGCTTGAATGGCGAATGGCATGGACAGCAACATGTGACCGAACAGCACAGCGAGACATGCTAATCTGATCCTGCTTCACCAACAGCTTCGCTCCACGCTCGCACGCATCAACCGAAAAACGTTAGCATCTCCTAATCAGATTTACGAGTACCATTTTTCTTCTGAAAGGTCCTAATCAGATTTGTGCACAAGTGTCATGGAATACTACTTGGCGAGCACTCGAGGCATTCTGATTGGCATCCTTTGCATTCTGTTCGAGGTGATCTTTCAAAGAACGCCGTGCAAGTGCAAGCAATCCCGTGATAGCGAGAAATCTGTCAAAAAAAAGTGCTGTCAAAAGCAAGCAAGCGGCGAGCTGTGTGTTAGGATTTTGCTGCAAAGTCAATGGTGCAGTGAACCTTCTGAATTCTGAACATCTGGCTCGGTTCATACTTCATAGGACTTTTTATGATTTAAGTTCAGACTTTAGAAAGTAACTCTGCAACCACCGGACATAAAGATTATACTACTACCGTGTAGTGTGTAGTACCGCTACATTGTACTCGTCATTGTGTAGTATAATACTAGTACACTATGGTGTTGTGAATGGAGAATAGGAAAGTAATTAATGGTGTCAAATGATAAATGGTGGTGATAATAGTATGATTTCTACAGATAGAGTGATTCTGCTGAGTCCAATATGCTGCAAGCCAGACCCTGTTTAGATGGGACTAAAACTTTTAAGTCCCTATCACATCGGATGTTTGGATATTAATTATAAATATTAAACGTAGGCTATTAATAAAACCCATACATAATCTTGGACTAATTCGCGAGACGAATCTATTGAGCCTAATTAATCCATGATTAGCCTATGTGATGCTACAGTAAACATTCTTTAATTATGGATTAATTAGGCTTAACAAATTTGTCTCGCGAATTAGCTTTCATTTATATAATTAGTTTTGTAAGTAGTCTATATTTAATACTCTAAATTAGTGTCTAAATATAGGGACTAAAGTTAAGTCCCTAGATCCAAACAGTGACTTAGCCTGCAAAATAGCAGAACATGGCTTCAAATAACTATACTCCTTGATTGACAGATGCTGTTCTGGTTGTCGTTAATGTTGGATCGGTACGAACAGATTAGGTTTCCATGGCACGTACGGAGCAAGGATTAGGTTTGGTGGACCGTGAGGTAGGTGACACCGTGTCCGTGTAGTGCTTTGTTATGCTCTGGATCTTATGGTTTCATCGCTTTCAGTTTCGTTTGCTCTCTCACTCAACACCAGTTAGTGGTTGCTGACGTCTTTTCTGTTGCTACTATTATTTTAGGATCATTCTGAACTTCTGAATTCTGATCCTTCGTTTGTGTCTTTTCCCTTTAGTGGTGATCGGTTGCTGTTTAATGGAGACATGGCAACTAACTTCATTCGAGCAATGTGATGTCATGCATACATTAAGGTTCACTAATTCATAAAAGAGGATGGAAAAAAATAGAGAACTTTTACGGTACAATTTACTAGCATTGAAAAACATAAGCGTTGAGCTGTTCACAGCATTACAGGCATTACAGTTAGATGTTCAGTAGGTTACTGCAAGTGCAGCATGATGTCGATGTTCTTGCGACGAGTCAGTCTGACAGATGATGCAATGGCTTAAACATAACTTAACATGAGATTAGGAGTTCATGCTCCATGCATCATCTGGATCAGGAAACTGGAATGGATCATGTGACCAAGTAAAGAGGGCCAAATGCCTCTCTGCTTATTGCATGGGTCACCTTGTCAAGCTGCATGTGAGGCAGATAGTCATAGTCCTCATCAGCATCTGACGATGGCGAGAAGCAGGCTGCAGCTGTTCGTCTGATAATCCGAGCCAATTTGAAGTATTCTCTGACTACTATCTCCCTAGAGAGGAGCGGTCTGCGGAATGCATTTCTGCATGGGGAGGATTCAGATGCCAAGGAGGCAATTATTCTGTTCTGAAACTTTGTCAAGAACGTCGAGTTCTTCTTCTTCGATTCTCGATTTGCAGCTTGGAGGCCTGAATTGCAGAGGTATTGATCCTTTGTTGCTTCATCCGTGAACTAAGATGCAGTATTGACAATGAAGTTAAAGAGGGTTGCTTGCTTCCTAAATGATACAAATTCCAGAAAGAAGTTCAGAACTTACATTGTCAGGCAGACCTTGAGAAGACAGTAACATATTCTCAGGACTACTTGAAGTTGTCTTATTTGAAACTTGAGTGCATTCTTCTTCCTGTGTTATCGTTGCTTCTATGAACTGAAACGACGAGAGATTAAAAGCTTCATCACTACAGTTTCCTACTTTATTGCATGAACAGTACTAAACAGTACTGTGCGTGCTCCAGCTACTCCCATTGTCTCAGCGAAGAAGAACGCAATGCAAAAAGAGAGAGATTCTTGCAATATGATCCAACCGAATGAACCGAGATCACCTTGCAATGTTCGGGATGATGATCGCAACTAGCTCTACGACATCCAGAGCTCTTGCTCATCCTCATGACCAGCTTATATAACGTGCAGCTCTACAAATCCAGCTTCATGCAGAAATGAGCAAGATAAAACCAAGACACTTTCTCATGATCCATGCAAGAAATCCAAAGTATAACGCCACTTAATTAAAGAACAAAGAGAGAGACAGACAGCCATGAATGAATGAAGCAACACAAGGTATTTGGCTGCATTACCCTCGAAGTAATGGCAGGCGAGACGCTGCAAGAAGAGAGGATGAGAAATGGATCAACTCATCAAGGCCATTCCGGAGCAAATAGGAGACGAAGCATTCAATGGGGTTGATTACGATGGTATCTGCTGATGAGAAGAGATCCTTCTCGCATTTAAGGTTGGCAATGGCAGTAGCTGGTATGAACAGATCAACAAGAGACAGTGTGTGTACGAGAGTGTCAGCAGCATATGGTCCATGATTTTGCCTTGCTTCTGAAGCTTTTGCTACTCATCATCCGTGGCGTGTAACAACGCCTGTGTGTATGATTATGTCAGCGCACGAGTGTTCAGAAAAAAAAAAGATAACTACTTCTTGTGTGCTTGCTGGTTTAATTAGGTGATCTGATCGATTGTAAAATTCTCATTCCAAAGCTTCTTGGCTCCAAGCTCCTCCAGTACTCTGAACTTTGAAGCTTCTTATTCCTGTGATTTGCAGTGGCTTTGTGAATCATGAATGCAAACCAATCATGTGGCTGCTCCTCCTGCCTGCATGCGTACTGTCTGTAATTAAGTAAGAAAGAAGCAGCATCGATCGATCTCAGTATCTCACTGTCTGTAATTTATCACCCTACTAGCATTTATAATTGGTGAGAAGAACTAGTAAAGAATTGGAGAGGAATGTATTCATGTGTTGGAATCCAGAGTTTTACATGATTAATTCAACTGGGGAGGGAGGGAGGGAGGGACAGACAATACAAGCACATGTGTGGGAGTCAGCAGTTTTCACGGTTTCAGTGGTCCTTGTGATGGATGATGAATCTGCAGCCAGGCACGCGCTGCTGTACCGGGAGGGAGGAGCATGGCTTCCCATGACGAGACCTTGGGACCATGCCAAGCCCTAGCTATCTTGCAACATTATTAGTATATTATACTTCATGGGATCAAAAAAATAAAATGCTAGTGGTAACTACTACCTAATGTTTCATACTTTCAGTTTCATAGGGTTCAGTATTTCAACCTTTTTTTCAAGACTTCAGTCTTCAGCTTATGCTAGCAATGAACTACTACTATTATAAGTGTTTTTTTTAGAAGCTATTATAAGTGTTTTGAGAGGATGGGAAAGGAGAGAAATACGTAAAACAAGAGGCTTGTTCACTTTGCTATAATTTTCAACCTTACCAAGTTTTGGAAAAGTTACCAAAAAAGTGGCTACATTTAGTTGTTGCCAAATTTTAGTAACTACATATGAAATCTTGTCAAAATTTAGTAACCTTGCCAAAATTTTGACAACCTTACCAAAAATTTGACAATGCCAAAAATTGATAAGGTTAAAAATTGTAGCAAAGTGAACAGGCTCGAGATAAACCATTAGCACATAATTAATTAAGTAATAATTATTTTAAACTTTTTAAAAATAAATTAAAAATAAATATTAAAAAACACATCATTTTAGCAGTTGAACGTAAGCGCAGAAAACGACTAATCGAGGGACTTTTCCTCTTTATCCTCTCCTACCGAACGGGCCTATTTCAACTAGATCCGGCCTGGTCCAGGAGGCGATGTCGCACTCGCAGGTGTGCAGCTCTCTAGTGGGCTTGCAGATTAGGCCCATTAGTGTTGATTGGGCCTCGAAGTGCTTTGTCGTGGACATCATCCGCCGCCGTCTTCTTCCTCGACCATGCCGTTGCCGGAACCGGCTAGCGCGGCCGGCCGGCGGCGGCGGGGAGGCCGCAGTGGGACGACGGGTGAAGGATCCTCCAGCTGCGGAAGGAGGTGGTCCTCGAGGCCGAAGGGGAGAGGCTACGGAGATGGAGGGAAGCCGAAGAGAAGGGAGGCTGCTGCTGCTGCTGCATTTGGGAGACGAGAACTCGACTCGAGCCATGGCGGCAGATTGGTGTTTCACGGCGGAATGCTAACTAGATCCAGCATCTCCATAGCAAAGGTAGAATGGTAGATTGAGGTGAGTTTTTTTTCCCCTCTTCTGCAGTTTTGATGTATTATTACTGCCCTCATCTGATCTGGGTAACATATTTCTGAGCTCAGTAGAACTGTTAAAAAAAGGCAGAAATGCACAAACTCTTCTCACAAAACAACATACAAATGCTTATATTTTGGAGCGGAGGCAATACATGGTATATTTTTTAAAGTGAAAAAAACAATCAGACACATGGTATTGAGTGATAGCAAAGCTGGGTGACCACAGAAAATACCTCCTGCTTTAAATACTTTATACCTGGGCTGTCAATCCTCGGAGTTCCTCCCAATGTAATGTCTGAGGAAGAAGTATTGCAGCTAAATTTTAAGGGTTTCTTGTACGAAACAGGGACAATCAGAGATTAAGAAACTCTATGTGGAAAAGGCCATGCGCATTTTGTTATGTGATTCAACAAATAAGATGAGGAGGCAAAGTCATGGTTCTGTTCTAATTAACAAATCTACTATGGGGGCCGTTGCTCCCTATTGTCCACGCTCCTTTTCTTCATTTCTCTCCTGCAGGATATCTTGTCTTTTGATTCTTCATTTTAGGTCTTATAAATATCACGTGGTTCAGGCCTCCAATGTCAAATTATCATTACGTGGAACTCTCTTAGATGCTTGAGAAAAGTTAGCTCTTACCTGTCCATAGAAGCTCCAAGGAAGCGAGAATAGTAGATACTTTGGTTGGCCATGGCCACTGGTGTTTCTGTTGAGAACATAAACCCCAAGGTTATACTAGGGCCATCATCGATCGCTGAGTGCATAGTCAGTAAGTTGTGTTCTTTTGTGGCTTGCTGATTCATATTCTTTATTTCAGGTTTTACGATGTGAATATGCAGTTCGTGGAGAGGTTGCCATCCATGCTCAGGTTTCGTGGTTTAGTCCATCCATGTTCTGGAAGTCAATTTCAATTTATTCTTTTTCAGCAAATGCTAGAAGAGAAATTAATAGATATCTCACATTTTTCTTCCAGCACCTACAACAGCAGCTACAGACACAACCTGGTTCTCTTCCATTTGATGAGGTCATTGACAACTATAATTTGCAGATCACGTGAATAATCGGTAGATGATTCATAAATTTTCAACTATTATATGCAGATCGTGTATTGCAACATCGGGAACCCTCAGTCCTTGGGTCAAAAACCAATCACATTCTTCAGGGAGGTCTGTAAATATTAGACACCCAAAACTTCATCTTTCCTTTTTATGCTCTTTCAGTATTTACGAGTTATGTTACAGGTTCTTGCACTTTGCAATCATCCAAATCTGCTGGAGAGAGAGGAAATTAAATCATTGTTCAGGTAAACATCAACTGCATGCCATGATTCATTACCAAGCTATGACTATACATATATATTTATGTTCTACACTTTCTACATTTCTAATAAAAAGGTATGTAAGCACATTAGGGTATTTCATTTATGTATGATATAAATGTTTCTTCATCTCTTTGCAGCACTGATGCTATTGCTCGGGCAAAGAAAATTCTTTCCATGATTCCTGGAAGAGCCACCGGGGCATATAGTCATAGCCAGGTAACCATCTGCCAATTCACTCAACTAGGAGCATCTTGAGTTCATAATTTTCCTTATAGTAAGTTTCACTATAACTATGTTGTCAAAACTATCGATTTCTGCAAATTTAACTACGCAATAAGAATGCAAGAATAGCTGATGATCTTATCAGAAAATTGCAACCTTATTTGATTGGTCTGGATCCATCTGTCACACACACATGCAATACTCATGTCGTTGCAAGTTTGGGCCTACACATCAGAAACCAATAGGAGATAAGGCTGCAGGTTTCTGATAAAATCCTCTGCTATTGTTGCAGTTGTGTGAAATATTCAACAAAAGATGCAGATTTAAATCAAACACTGCAGTTTTTGTGGAATTTACTCTTCTTTATCCTAGGGTATCAAGGGACTGCGTGATGAGATTGCTGCTGGGATTGCCTCCCGTGATGGTTTCCCTGCAAATGCAGATGATATATTCCTAACTAATGGAGCAAGTCCTGGTGTATGTCCTACCTTGGTTATTTCTGAAGAAACAGGAATGTAAGATATTCCAGTCTGACTTATGCTTTCCCTCTTCTAGGTACACATGATGATGCAGTTGCTGATAAGGAACAACAGAGATGGCATTATGTGTCCAATTCCTCAATACTCATTGTACTCAGCATCCCTAGCACTTCATGGCGGAGCTCTTGTATGTAGTTTATTTGTCTGACGTTATAACTTCAAGCTAGCTACTCGATGCAGCGCAATAGCCTGAAGACATTTCATTTCAGGTGCCATATTATCTTGATGAATCCTCAGGATGGGGTTTGGAGGTTTCTAAGCTTAAGAATCAACTTGAAGATGCCAGGTCAAAAGGCATAACTGTTAGGGCGTTGGTGGTGATCAATCCTGGAAATCCTACTGGACAGGTTTGCTCTCACCGCTTCTCCTATCGTGTGCGATTTAAAACATCTTATATACAATTATACAAGTATCTATTATATAATTAAAGGAATAGAAAAAGGAGCCTCCACGTTCGCTCTCATGGCCTAGAAATTCTCACATTAAACGGAGAAAAAGAAAAAACAAAGTCCATATAGAAATACAATTTAGAAATAGCTGAAATTCGGAATTAAAAAATAAGGAATATTAAAAGAGGAGACTAGAGTCCATATAGAAATACACTTTAGAAATAGTTGAAATTCGGAATTAAAAAATAAGGAATATTAGAAGAGGAGTATAGAGCCCATATAAAAATACAATTAGGAAATAATAGAAATTCAGAATTAAAAATAAGGAATATTAGAAGTAGAGTATAGAGTCCATATAGAAATACAATTAGGAAATAATAGAAATTCTGAATTAAAAATAAGGAATATTAGAAGTAGAGTATAGAGTCCATATAGAAATACAATTAAGAAAAAAATAGAAATTCAGAATTAAAAAATAAGAAATATTAGAAGTAGAGTATAGAGTCCATATAGGAATTTAAAACTAACTAAAATTCGGAAAAAAAAAGGAGCCTCCACGTTCGCTCTAATGACCTAGAAATTCTCACATTAATCGGAGAAAAAGAAAAAGCAGAGTCCGTATAGAAATACAATTTAGAAATAGCTGAAATTCGGAATTAAAAAATAAGGATATTAAAAGAGGAGACTAGAGTCCATATAGAAATACAATTTAGAAATAGCTGAAATTCGAAATTAAGAAATAAGGAATATTAGAAGAGGAGACTAGAGTCCATATAGAAATACAATTTAGAAATAGTTGAAATTCGGAATTAAAAAATAAGGAATATTAGAAGAGAAGACTAGAGTCCATATAGAAATAAAATTAGGAAATAACTGAAATTCGGAATTAAAAATAAGGAATATTAAAAGTAGAGTATAGAGTCCATATAGAAATACAATTAGGAAATAACCGAAATTCGGAATTAAAAATAAGAAATATTAGAAGTAGAGTATAGAGTCCATATAGAAATACAATTAAGAAAAAAAATAGAAATATGGAATTAAAAAATAAGGAATATTAGAAGTAGAGTATAGAGTTCATATTGGAATTTAAAACCAACTAAAATTCGGAATAAAAAGGAGCCTCCATGTTCGCTCTCATGGCCTAGAAATTCTCACATTAATCAGAGAAAAAGAAAAGGCAGAGTCTCAGAGAAAAAGAAAAGGCAGAGTCCATATAGAAATACAATTTAGAAATAGCTGAAATTCAGAATTAAAAAATAAGGAATATTAGAAGAGGAGACTAGAGTAGTTATTACACATTAGTAGTTTTGAAAAGTTATTGCAAAATTTAAAATTATGTTGTCATTGTAATATATTTTATAATAATATAATGAGAAAACATATATGCTTTTATATGAGAGAAAATATAATGATGCTAGCCGCGCAATCTACGCGGGCCACCATGCTAGTTCATGATTAAGACAAAGTGGCACTGTTATTTTGTGATGTTTTTCATGTCAGTAAGCATATGTTCCTTGATCCGAAGAAGTATTTAGGTTCAACTGATATAAATATTCCAAAAATCATAATTGAAATGTTTTTACATTGTTGTTAAGATTCTTGATGAGCAACAGCAATATGAGCTAGTAAAGTTCTGCAAGGACGAGGAACTTGTTCTTCTGGCGGATGAGGTAAGGCTAGTCATGTTCAAAGGTGTCAGTGTGTTGAGTGATATAATAATGTTAACAAAGTATGATGTTAACAAACACAAGAGAAAACTGTCCAGATAATCGTTTTTTGGGGGGTGTTGATAGGTATACCAAGAGAACATTTATGTTACCAACAAGAAGATCAACTCTTTCAAGAAGATAGCAAGATCCATGGGATACAATGGAGACGATTTACAATTAGTATCATTGCATTCTGTTTCTAAAGGTGAAATCCCATCATCCGCCTTTCTTTCTCCAAGTACATTGTAACTCCTTACCACATAGATATTTTTTTGCCTGCCATCAGGATATTACGGAGAGTGTGGCAAGAGAGGCGGTTACATGGAGGTCACTGGCTTCAGCACTCCAGTTAGAGAACAACTCTACAAAATTGCATCTGTTAACTTGTGTTCAAATATCACCGGCCAGATCCTTGCGAGCCTCATAATGGATCCACCAAAGGTGCAATAACATATCTGTCCTTACACGAAATGTAATTGCCAATATACACTAGATTCATAACACAGAGAGACCATGCATATTGTGCAGGCTGGGGACGCATCTTATGACCTCTACGAGGAAGAGAAAGACAACATCCTAAAATCTTTATCTCGTCGTGCAAAGGTGTGTGGAGTTTACTTTTAACAGATTCACTTCTTGCTATCTATGCAGACACTTGAGCTAAGACATCATTTTGTCTGGAATCTGGATCACAGGCAATGGAGTCTGCATTTAACAGTATTGATGGAATTACATGCAACAAGACGGAAGGGGCGATGTATCTGTTCCCACGGATTTATCTACCACAGAAGGCAATTGAGGCTGCCAGGGCTGTCAACAAAGCACCTGATGTATTCTACGCTCTACGTCTTCTTGATACCACCGGCATCGTTGTGACTCCTGGATCTGGTTTTGGACAAGTGAGCTACTTTCTACTCTTGATCTTTGAACCATAGTGATATGTGCTGTCTGAATCCCACAGAATGATAAGTGAACTGTTTTGGGGAACGGCTGAAGCTCACGCAGCACAATCTATATTCCTGAAGAGTCTGGTAGTAGTAGTAGTCTCGTTCTACAAGAACAGATAGCACCAATTAAAAAAAAAACAATAACAGATAGCAACCGTTTTTTCTACCATTTCAGATCATCAGATGTTATCTGTTCACCTGCAATTCTGAATTCCTGACCACTCAAGTTTGGTCCTTTGTGAAAGGTTGCAGGGACATGGCACGTGAGATGCACGATCCTGCCGCAGGAGGAGAAGATACCTTCGATGATCTCCCGCTTCAGGGAATTCCATGAGGAGTTCATGTCACAGTATCGCGACTGATGGACTGAACTCATAAGGCTTCGCCATCCAGAAGACGAGAAATAAAGCAAAACGCCGTTAATCTGCGATGTGTTAACGGAAGATGTGCAGCAACCTTAATCTGGAAAACTTGAGCATACTCAGTTTGGGTCGTAAAGAATTCACGGGCTGTTGCATCAGTGTTTGCCCGGTACAAGGTTTGATTGGATTAGCACGATGAATGAGTGCAGGGAGACCTGCAGCTAAATAAATACTCCCTCCGTCCTATAATATAAAGTATTTTGAATTTTTGATTGCAACGTTTGACCGCTCGTCTTATTAAAAAAATTTAAAATTATTATTTATTTTATTAGTGACTTACTTTATTATCTACATTACTTCAAGCATAACTTTTCGTTTTTTATATTTACAAAAAAAAAATTGAATAAGACGAGTGATCAAACGTTGCAAGCAAAAACTCAAAATCCCTTATATTGTGGGACGGAGTGTGGGACGGAGTGAGTGTTAATGTTAGTAGTTGTGAGTTAGTGACTCGTACCTAAAAGTAATGCTACGAAATAAAAATGTGTTGAGAGAGTATCTTACATTCAGTAAAGGTTTTCCAATCGAGTTGGCTATCTTGAAACGGAACGAGAACAGCAGCTATTGTTTTGAGCTCTGAAATCTGAAGCAGGCGACACGGAGCAGCAGTCTATAGCGAATCTCTTCTTGAAGCGAAACTCAAACTCCTCGCGATCCCGTTCATTGGGGCGTGGTCGCGTAGATTCATCATTCATGGGCCTCGCACTCCCGCGGCTAAGAGCAAGAACAATAGTAGGCTTTATGCCAGCTATAACAAGAAGAAAAGAGAAGAGAGAAAAAAGCGGGCTATAAATTTGTATCCAGCTGAAACATGGACTTCAAGACACTTTGTGTGTTTGAGAGGTGAGACCGAGTATTAATTGTGTAGTATATTTTTATAGATAACTATTTAATGAATGAGCTATTAGATTAGTTATAGATAATTTGAAGCTAACATTTGGCTATACTATTAAACTTGCTCTAATCGGGCCATGTGGGCTGCACCCCAACCATCCGGGCTCTCGGCTCTCCAGCAGCATACGACCTCTCGGGACTCGGGAGCCCTACGGATTTTTCTTAATTTTAATTTTTATCTATTAAAACATTTTCTAAAACATTCTTAAAGTATAACAGATCTACACCTTTAACGTCCTCTATTTTTACGACGTGGTATATGTTCTAAAAAAAATTAAATCCTAGCTACTAACCTAAACATATATGTGTCTAAATTCTCATATTAGGATTGGATTGAGTTTTTTATGAAACAGAGGTGTAGCTGTTAATGCATGTTAACTGTTGTTGAGAGGGGAGGGTTGCACCGTAGTGCTTGTAAAATAGCCAGCCTTACTTTACGTAGTCGTTAGCATTAACCAATGACTATATGTATGTCACGTTATATAAAGAAAAAACGCTAACACTTTTCCACGAGGCCACGTTGTTGCCGCCTTGTCTGCTACTACCTCGACATTTTGGTACCGAGAAAGTACCAATACCGCACTTCCACCACCTGTAGCCATATGGACACGATGCAGTGGCTGGCATGTTGGTAGTGGCAACGCAGGGATATGTGGGTATTGGTTGGCACATGACAAACGGCGTCGCCCAAACACGTGCTGCACGCACGGGTACGTCGTAAACGTATGTGCGGCCACACACCAGCCGTCGTGCTCACGCGTCCCAGTTTTAATTTGTACTTTTTCCTCCGTCTCTTTTTAGGTGGAGTCATAATTTTCGTGTTTAACTTTAATCATCTATCTTATTAAAAAAATTTAATCAATATTTTTATTGTTATTATATGATAAAGTATGAATATTATTTTATACGTAACTTATTTTTTTATTTTTTAAATAAAATATCAAATAAGAGAGACGATTATGGTTGCGTTTAAAATAGAATGCATGGAGTACTAGTGTACTACATCGAGCAGGAGCGCCATAGCTTTGCGGCGTCCACACAACACACGCCGTGCCTTTTCCCGGAGTGGCAATTGGCAAAGGCAATAACATGCCCAGAATTAAGTATGCAAAGCGGTTGCTGCCAACGCCCCGGGTTGTGCACATGGGCTATTTGGAGAATTGGATTCGCCCCTACGAGTAGTAGTTGCTCAGCTAGGGTTGCTGTTTGTTTGCCAAAGATATTCTCTGCCACTCCCTCCTGAATGTTTAACGCAGTTGATTTTTTTAAATATATTTGACCGTTCGTCTTATTTAAAAACTTTTGTGAAATATATAAAACTATATGTGTACATAAAAGTATATTTAAAAATTAATCAAATGGTATGAAAAGAATTAATAATTGCTTATATTTTTTGAATAAGACGAACGGTCATATATATTTAAAAAAGTCAACGGCATAAAACATGTAGGATGGAGGGAGTATATACGAATGGTTTATGTGAAATGAGGGGGGGTGGGGGGGGGGGTCTTTTCCCTGCTATGTTGGAGGAAATATTCTGCCGCGGTTAGGTCAGTTTCCACCACGGAATGAGTGGTTTATACCAGAGAATTGGATACTGATTGCTGAGTACATTCCTTCCTTCAGAATAAGAGATGGAATACTCCCATATTGTCCCATATGCGCAAGGTAGAGGCTGTTTGCTTGGTGGCTAGAGTTTGCCATGCCAAATCTTACCCACACCACACTTTGACAGCTTAGGCTGAGTTCGTCAGCTTGAGTTCCCAACTACACATCCTTCGTTTTTCATGCGCACGCTTCCCAAACTGCTAAACGGTGTGTTTTATGAAAAAAAAACTATATACGAAAATTGCTTTTAAAAAATCATATTAATCCATTTTTAGAAAAAAAACTAATACTAAATTAATCACGTGCTAATGAACCACATCGTTTTACGTGTTTGGAGGGAGAGTTTCCAACTCTCTCTGCCAAACACAACCTTTTGCTAAGTTCTTTCCTCAACTTTGCCAACATACCTCCCTCGTTTTCCGCGTGCATGCTTTTTAAACTGCTAAACGATGTGTTTTTTAAAAAAAAATTATACAAAGTCGTTTAAAAAAATCATATTGATCTATTTTTAAAAAAAGTAAATATTTAATTAATCATAAGAAAATGAGTCGCTCCGTTTTACGTGCGCACAGTCTAAGGACCCCCTCCTTGTCCTATACATGCTCTTAGCTATCAACAAAATATGCCCGTAATATGCCCAACGAGTTACGATAGGAATTGGATGTAAGAATATTCGGATTTTATTTCTTCTGCCACCCTCTAGTGGTGCAATTCTTTTATTTTAGTTAGAAGAAATTTTACTACTTAAATTTATATAGAACAAAGTCAACAGAGCGTTAAAAGTTTACTGCAACTATGCATTTTAACATTACGAAATCAAAAGCTGATGTTTTGCCACGGCGAAGTCTTAACTCTAACCGTTAAATCTCTTATCTTCACAGTGACCGTAGCAGAGATCACACATTCACATGCAAAAACACGTCTCTTTCTCTATACTTCACTTTCACCTCGATAAAAAAGATAAATAATCCACATGGCAGGTGAGAAATTAAACTATTATCCCGATTATGTGGCGCCCATAAAGCCAGCAGCGCAAGCCCATGTCATGCCAACACAGTAGAGCATTGCACGCGCTGTATTCAATTCGATCGCCATGTGTAGCATGTGCGAATATTTTTTATCATTAGAAAAATATATAATCTTTTCGAGGTTTTGACAAGGAGAGCTATAGCTTTCAGCTGGCCCAATAATAATAATAATCAAATAAACAAGGAAAACACCACATGTTTCACTGTACTAGTTGAGCTCTGACCACTATATATAATCACACTGCCACACAATCTGCTAGCAATTCTCCTCCCCCTCTTGCAATCCATTCTGAATTCTCTGATCTTGAATTCTTCATCTTCTCTCTCTGCAAGAATCTCGAGATTTCAAGATCGAGGAGAACTTAAAAGTTTTTACGCCATGATTCCGAGAGCTCCGAGCCTCTTCCATATCGAGGATGGAGCTGTGGGTGTCGCGGCGTCGACGAAGAAGCCAATGCCGGCTGACTCCGGCGAGCTCGTCGGGCTCCGGCTGATCATACAGCAGTCGCCGAGGCAACGGCCGCCGCTGTCCGTGCTCAGGCGGTCGGCGGTGAGGCCGTCGCCGGCGGCGACGGCGGCGGCGAGTCAGGATGAGGCTGGTGCTCCTGCAGGCCGGGGGTTCATGGGGTTGGGGTTCTTGAACTGCTGCTACTGCTGCCACAAGAAGCTCTACGCCGACATGGATGTGTTCGTCTACAAGTAAGACATTTTACACAACAAATCAAGAACTCCGCCTTAATCCACACTTCAAATAGAAACTTTATTTGGTGATTAGTGATCATGATCGAGCTGAGGAACTTGTGGTTAATTAATTCTTGGATACTGACTGACTGATTTATCTGTGGTTTTTTTTGTTTTGGGCAGAGGGGAGCACGCGTTCTGCAGCGCGGAATGCCGGAGCCAGCAGATGGCGAGGGAGGAGAGGCGAGAGATCGAGATGCTGGTGAGGCGGCGCCGCGACGCGTTCCACCGCCGGCGAGCTTCGCCGCCGGCCAAGATCGGTGGACACGCGAGGCTGCAGATCGCTGCTTCATGATTTATATATACATATGACAGACTTATCGAGATCGAGGTTCATCTCCGCTAGTTTCTGAACAATTTTTCAGGAGAAATTAGGGAGGACAATACAACGGAGACGTACGGCTACTCATTCTGTCACAGATTTTGTTGTCCTCGTCTACTTCACATGTATAAATTGTAATTGTATTTTTCGATCTCTTCTTTTCGTCTATAACCAGCGGTAGTAGTGTAGTTGCTGCAGGGTGTAGATGCTGCAAATTAAGTTAAGAGTGTACAAGAAAGTAGATGAAACTGATGGACATTTGACAACGTGTTTACGGAGTGTTTGAGATAGATTAAGATGAAAATAAAGTTAGCATACGTAAAACAAGAAAACCATTAATATATTATTAATTGAGTTAATTGTTATAAACTTTAAAAATAGATTTATTTGATCTTTTAAAACAACTTACATACATCAAGTTTTTCAGACGTACCATTTAGCAGTTTGAAAAATATGTTTACGAAAATCGAGTTAAGATAAGTATCCTAATCGAAAAGAACGTGATAACTCTGAAGACATATTCACTTGCGTGGACTTAACTGATGGAATGATCGAGCTGAGACCCGGAAAACATTGTCCAGATCGAAAATAACCATGAAAGGTTCCTTAATGCTTTTCCCGAATTTCAATCATAAAATGGCGTGGACGTTCAGTATCCGCATAGTGCAAATGATCTCTCACCATGGAAGCATGAGATCTGGGTGCTCATCCAACAAAGGCCTGTCGCTTTGATCAGGCAGCGACTAGCTACTCCCTCTGTTTCAGATTATAATATGTTTTGACTTTGATCAAAATCAAATTGGTTCAAATTTGACCAAGTTTATAGAAAAAATAGTAATATTTTCAACCCAAGATAAATTTATTATAAAGATATATTTAATTATTAATTTAATAAAACTAATTTGGTAATGTAAATATTACTATATTTGTCTATAAGCTTAGTCAAACTTAAAGAAGTTTGATTTTGATCAAAGTTAAAATATCTTATAACGTGAAACGGAGGGAGTACATAACAATAGATTTGCACTGTGACAAACTATGAACAGCTAGCTGCAGACTGTCATCTAAAAAACACTGAAAAAGTTCCAACAGGATGTTTATATTAGTGTATTTGAGGAAGCTTCCGATTCAAATGTGTACTCTCTTGTGATAGAAATCAACTATCAGGGAATCTGTTAGTAGTAAATCAACCATCTGAACTAGTATTTATCTGAAAACCATCTGAACTATCCACGGTCCTGAACTTTGCATAATGCCCCCGTTTCTGTCGCTACCAATGATAGCGAAAATTTTTGCATAACACGGACAACTCCAAAACACGCGAGTACAAAATGGGCCTTTAGCCCACTCGCATAAATGGGCCCCCAAGTCCTCAACGATCCTTCCGCTGTTACTTTGCCGATGGGCCTCGTAGGCCAGCCATGTTAGGGTTCAGTAGATGGGCTTTGACGATCCAATAGTTAGTTGGTCCTTTGCTTCGGCGGGCAAGAATTAAGAGGCCCAACTCTGAAGATGTACTGGCAGACCTGAACTTACTACTTCGAGCATGTTCAGATTGATACCATTTTTTAAAGTAAAGTTGTTAAATATGTGTATCCATTTAGTTTCTTACCAAACTTTAGTAAATAAATAAGAAATCCTGCCAAAACTTAGCAATATTACTAAATTGCCAAAATTTAGTAAGATTTATTTTGGCTACAATCTAAATAGGCCCTTCAACTACGTTGGAGTTCACTGAACTTGTTCGTAATAGATATCTCGAACAAGAATTAGGAAGTCCTGAGCATTCAGCTAAGTATTTTTTTAGCATAATAAAAAATGACTGCCAGCCTAGGAGAAGCAGCCGCTTTGGGGTGGGCTGGTTGCCTGCGGCCATGGCAATGGATAGAGATGCCAATTGTGCCGTTCAACGCACAACTGAACTGGAACTGGATAGGAAGGCTGCCAGGCTGGAAGGGATTCCTAGGGTATGTCTGGGAAGTTTCTACATTGTGCAGCTTCTCATGAAATCAAAATCTTCTCTAAATAATTTAGCTTTTGATATAAATTCTAAGAAGCTATAGTAGTAAAATGCAGAAAATGAATTAGAAATCAAAAGTTGAAAAACCTACTACCTCAAAAAATTGCATTTCTAGCTCTAAAGCTTTGTCCCACAAAAATTGTATTTCTAGCCATGTGGGGCCCAGCAAATTGATTCATCTAGATAAGTTTCCTTCTCTCAGCTTGTAATTTAAGTATGCTAATTATATGGGTTAATTATCTCAAACTTATTTTTAATCATTTGTATATATGGAATGTGTGCATGCAATGGGTTCATTAAATAAGGTCATTGTGGTCATTTTCTAATCCTACTGTTTTATCCTAAATTAGCTAGAAATGTAATTTTTATGAGACGGAGGGAGTAGCTTTTTTTATAATCTCAGAAACTGACCATCTACGAGCTGTTTGTTACTCCAATCTTAAGCTTCTCAAATAGACCCATAGTTGAAGAGATGCCCTGTGTTGCTGCATGGTCTCTGCACCGCACGGCAGGGGAGATGTGCCGCTTCATCAATTGGCCGCTCCGCCCACATGCAAGATGCAACGCCAACGCCCAGAAAGTAGGCGAGAGAGACACATTTCTTCATTTTTCTTGACTATGAATGCGAGACACTGAACCTGTTCTGCCTCTGGATGATAAGAACCCCACACGTTCCAACTACGCGCTGCTTCAATTTGTAGTACTGTAGTACTGTTTAGAGCAGGTACAATAGCAGGCTACAAACCAGCTGCAAATATATTTTAAGAAGATAAATAAGGAGAGAGAGAAGCAGCGGGCTACAGATTTATAGCCACCTGTAGCACGGATTTTAAGACGTATTGTGTATATAACATGTGGGACCATATATTAATAGTGTAGTATGTAACTATAGTATAAATAAGCTATTAAATTGGCTATAGATAAATTGGAGCTAGTAGTTGGCTACTATTGAACTTGCTCTTATAACCCGCAAGTTGCCGTCGCCTCCCGCCATCTCGCATGATTAAAAGTTTAAAACCGAACCACCAAAAGCGCGACGGCAAATTGCATCGCCAAGTTGCCACTGGAACAGGGACACGCAATTAATGTCTCTCACCCTTTTCCTCTATCTCAAAAGGTACATTTCGTTTTCTTTACCTAATTTCTCCCTCTCAAAATAAATTTATCTTTCATTCATCTCACACGTATCAATACAAAATCGGAAAACTAAAATACATCTATTTTATCAAACTCTATATAGTCTCTTATTTATCTATTTTTAATATAATTATTTTATGCTTTCACAAACTTCGATGTAACGATTACTCTAAAAATAAATTTATTCTAGGACAAATGAGCGAAAAATGAACATATAATGAGAGAGAAAGTACCTTTGCTCAAGTTTCAAATGTTCTCGTAGCAAAGAGTACTACTGGTAAATACTCTACCATGATAATAAACCTTTGCTACAATATGAGATAAAATCCTTTGTGTTACAAATAGATAATGAATCTGGTAAAACTGAAAATCACGCTGTGCAAGCGACTCTGTGAAAAAACTGTTTCTGGTGCTTTTGCTGCTGTGCCTGGGACCTCCTCAGCTTGTGCAATACCGCTTTCCTGAAACTTGGCACGCCGCAGACCGCAGCCACCTTGGTTTTGCACATCAAGTTGAATGACCGAGTGTGACACAAGATCCTGTATAAACAGAGAACGCCATTCGTTAATTCGCTTGCAAAAAAACTTTCCCCAGTGTGACATGGACACTTACGTCCTGTTTAGTTCGAAACGAAAATTTCTAGCGTGTCACGTCAAATATACGGACACACATTTAAAGTATTAAATGTAGACTAATAACAAAACAAATTACAGATTCTATCTAGAAACTGCGAAATAAATTTATTAAGCCTAATTAATCCCTCATCAGTAAATATTTATTGTAGCACCATATTGTTAAATCATGACGTAATTAGACTTAAAAGATTCGTCTTGATATTTACACGCAATCTATACTTTTTTTTATATTTAATATACATGTGTTCAAACATTCGATGTGATTGGGTGAAAAAAATTTGCGTGTACACTAAATAGGGCCTAATTCGCTTGCAAAAAAAACCTTTCCCCAGTGTGACACGGACACTGAATATATATATATATATATATATATATATTTGCTACTCGTAGTACTAGCTTTGACTGTAGCTGCATCCTGCTGCCTGCGACCCTTGGTTGCTACCAACAGATGATGCTGTATTAATAAACGAGAAAGTGAGCAGGTCAAGTTGGCAACTTGACAATACCGGAATTCCAAGAAACTGGGGTTGGGGAGAAAGTTTTGGTATTCGCAGGCGATGCAGCCCCGATCTCCGTGGCTCACCCGTGTGGCCGTGATGCCGTTGGTCGCACACGTTTGGGTGAGGGGAGTCCATGGTGTTGCGGAGGAAGGTTTGGTAGGAAGGATCGGCGAGCTCAAAACCGGGGAAAGCTCTTCTTCACTGTGTTGTTTGGCTTGTTGGGTTTCGGATTCGTGTGATGATACTCCAGTTTGATACTACAGTAAAATCACATGAACCCGTAAAATGTACTAATAGTACGGTCAGAATTTTGAATGGATTTTATAGGGTTGATATCCATATAGTCTAAGAGCAATTTTAATAGTATAGCCCACTACTAAGTCTAATTCATTTATAGCCGATATAATAGTCAATTTATACAATAGTTGTTTACTATACTATTAATATATGATCCCACCTGTCATACATATATTGTGTCTTGGAGTCCGTACTGCAGCTGACTACATATCTGTAGCCCGCTACTCTTCTCTCTCATCTTTTATCTCATTAAAATATGTTCATAGCTAGCTAATAGTCTGCTATTGTACCTGCTCTAAGAGCATCCACAATGTAGTCCAAAAGTGATCCATAAGCAATATAATATGTCATTCAACCACCTAGTAACATTGTGAAATTAGTACATAGCAAAAAAATAACAAAAGCTACCCATAAACATATGGGCTGGAGGATAAAATATATTATTTGTCTCTACTTCTTCTCTCCTTCTAATACTATTTGCTATCTATATACATTATGAATGTTACAATAGTTAAAATCCATACATGTGGGTCCCGTCTATATGGACTACTTTTGCTATACATTGTTGTTGGGCCCCTTTAAATCGTAGAATTGATAAAACGTAGGAATAGAAAAAACGTAGGATTTTGATAGAAATGTAAGTGTAAAACAGAGGATTGAAAAAACGCAGGAATGACTGTTTGATTGAATCATAAGAAAAACGCAGAAATTGGATGAGAGAGATATACTCAAAGGAAAGTTACCAAGAGGTTGAAGCTCTTGCTAAATTTCCTCCAAAATCTATATAAGATTGTTCATTTCATAGGAATTTCAAAGGATTGGATAGGATCCAATCCTTTGTTTCAAAGTGTTTCTTAGGAAATTTTTCTATAGGATTGAAATCCTCCAAAATTCCAATGTTTTTCCTCTAAATCAAAGGGGCCCTAACTACATGTAGTTAGTAACACTTACTTCAATCAAATCAAGTTTATTTTAAGTTTTGTTAGCACCTGTAACCACATTTCAATATTGAAAAGACTTTTGTTGCTTTTAGGTTTTCTCATCTTAGTTTATTTTAGAGCCTTTGTTTCTAAATCACTAATAATATATATATATATATATATATATATATATATATATATATATATATATATGAAAGTTTTATTCATAAATTGTTTGTTTGCAAATATGTCGTGGGTCTCGTTTAAGGGCCTGTTTGGTTGGTGCCACATTTTGCCACACTTGAGGTAGATCAGTTTGACCAAATGTGATTAGTGTTTAATTTATTTCCACAATTTTGACATGCCACATTTTCTACTCTTTTGGTCCCACTAGTCATAGACTCTTTTCTTAGCCAAAGTTTACCACAAGTGTGGCCATCAAATTTTGAGACACATAATTTGCATCTTGCCACACCTTCGGTACAAAATTGTGGTAAATCGAGGAGGGCTTCCAAACAGGCCCTTAGGGGTCCGGATCCTACCTGCTCCAGTGGCTAACGGGTGCGGGGTGCCGAGCAGCAGAAGCAGTGAGCGCGGTCGTGCCCTCCACGAGCCCATCTCCTTCCCCTTCCCTTTCCTTGCCGGGCCAACCAATGCACGCGCGCCGTCGCCGTCGCCGTCGCCGCGGACAGCTGCCACACCACACACACACACACACACAGCACGGCCCGTGTCTGGTACTCCCCCTACGCAAGTGGGCAAACGCAGCAGCAGATGCATTGCACCTTCTCCTCCCCCCTCCCCCCGCGTGGGCCCCACCCACCTGACCTTATCCCTTCGCCCCCCTCCTCCTCCTCTTTCGCCGCGATTTCTTTAGGATTTTTTTTCCCGCGATTTCGGAGCCGCGGGATGGATGGCCCCCCTCCCCCCTATTTAACACCGCCTCGTCGCTCTCTCCTTCCTCATCACAAGCTCACAAGTTCACAACCCAACACCCAAAAGCAAAAGAAAAGCAGCAACCAAAGATGTGCGGCGGAGCGATCCTTGCGGAGCTCATACCGAGCGCGCCGGCGGCGAGGCGCGTCACGGCGGGCCACGTCTGGCCGGGCGACGCCAACAAGGCCAAGAAGAAGGGCGCGCGCGCCGACGACTTCGAGGCCGCGTTCCGCGACTTCGACAACGACTCCGATGACGAGGAGATGATGGTGGAGGAGGCGGAGGAGGAGGAGGCGACCTCCGAGCACAAGCCGTTCGTCTTCCGCGCCAAGAAGGCGGCGGCGGCGGCGTCGAGCAGGCGCAGGAAGCCGGCGCAGTACAGGGGCGTGCGGCGCCGGCCGTGGGGGAAGTGGGCGGCGGAGATCCGCGACCCCGTCAAGGGCATCCGCGTCTGGCTCGGCACCTTCACCAACGCCGAGGCCGCCGCGCTCGCCTACGACGACGCCGCGCGCGCCATCCGCGGGGACAGGGCCAAGCTCAACTTCCCTTCCGCTACCACCCCTGACACCCGCAAGCGCGGCCGCGCCACCGCCGCCGCCGCCCCGGCCGTCAAGGCGACCCCGGTCATCAACCTCGTCGAGGAGGAGGACGAGGAGGAGGTCGCCGCCGCCATGGCGTCCATCAAGTACGAGCCCGAGACCAGCGAGAGCTCCGAGTCGAACGCCCTCCCGGACTTCTCCTGGCAGGGCATGTCGGCCTCCGACGAGTTCGCCGTCGCCGCGGCGGCGCTGTCGCTCGACAGCGACGACGACCTCGCCAAGAAGCGTCCGAGGACCGAGCCGGAGGACACCACCGACTCCGGCTCCGGCGACGACACCGACGCGCTGTTCGACGCGCTGCTGTTCGCCGACCAGTACAACCACTTCAACGGCGGCGCCTACGAGTCCCTGGACAGCCTGTTCAGCGCCGACGCCGTGCAGACCACCGCCGCCGCCGCCGCCGCCGACCAGGGCATGGGGCTCTGGAGCTTCGACGACGGCTGCTGCCTCGTCGACGTCGAGGCCAGCTTGTCCTTCTAGGCTCTAGCCGTCGTCTCCGGCGACCCTGTGACTCGATCTTGTACCATGTCATGTACATAGAAGAGTGGTTTTGCCAAGCAAGCATGTGTTCGTCCTGGTTCCTTTCGGTAATGAAAAATTATGTGAGGCTTCTCGTTCTCGTAAAAGATCTTTTTGGCTGTGCCTTTGATGCAAAAATCTGAGTTTCAGTTAATCACCATGTTTATGTTGTCTGATGTTCAAGAAATCAAGACAGGATTAATATGTTCAAGAATTCTTTGGTTCTTTCAACATGATTGATGAATCTTTTGAACAAGAAGAAGATAGTGTTAGGCCGAACGCAGCAACAACTGGTATGCTTTTTGAACAAAGACTAGACCATTAGTTACTGCTACTGCGAGTGCAAAGGCAAAATTATCTGAAACGCGCTCCTATTCAGATTCACATGAAAGGCAAAATTAGATTCGAATATGGATGAATTACCCCATCTATCTTTACACTGCTTCACATTCAGATGCGACTCTACCAACGAGAAATCAAATGACCCACCAGCATCTATCAGGCTGTCGATCATTTCGGTGGCGAGTTTATATCAGGTCGCTTCAACGAACTTGCTGTCGGCAGTAGCAACTATCATGGCCTCCAAACAGCGAGAAAAGATGCTGCTAATCTTCGATCTTATCCCTACACTACTTCTACTAGTACCTTCATTGTTCCATTAACATCATCTCCGTCAAAAAAGAAACAAAAAATATACAGAGAAAGAAAGAAAGAAAGTAACTTCAAACAGTTCTGAATTCTTGAATTTCCCTGTCGTGGGATACTGTATCGCTGTGACAACACGGTGGTGATGGCCATAGCCATGCCGTGTTTGTCTGCTAATCTGTTTGTTCCTGTCACTGATTCCCTTCTTGTGAAGGCAAAGCTTTGACACAGCCGTGTCACCGATGGCACGAAACAGATCTTTCACTTTCTCATGCAGTGAAGTTACTTTGGCTCTCGACGGCGACACAGAACGATCTCTCTCTTTCACAAGGCGAAAGAGGATTTGTAATTGTTCGTCTCCTCTGGTCACCATGAATTATATAAATTTATAATATGAGTACAACCCTATTGAGTTTTCATTTTTCTGTTTTGGACTATTTCATCAAAGTCAATTGATTGGAGATGGCAGCAGAGATTGTTCGAGCAGAACGAGTAAACAAAAAAGGACGAGATATATACATTTGTTAAGCCTCAACTTGACTGCGAGGCCACATACAGAGCCCCCAAAAGCTAGGAAAAAAGTAGTGATATTTCCCCCATGTTAGAGATAAGGGACACGAATAAATATTTGCTATGTCTAGAAGCCGTCCATGCGTTCTTGGCAGAGAAACAGTGAACCTGTTCAAGATGCTTTCTCAAGTAGGTAGAGTTGAGTTGCTCAACTAGCAATTCCAGCATACGACAAAGCAAATCGATCACAGCAAGAGCCAGCCAACTTCAAAAAGAAAAGTTTTTTCTTTCTTTTTTTTGGGCAAGTTGAATCATGGATGGGAACACGCATGACAGCGCCATTTCATTGCATTATACAAACCGAAACGCTGCAATCATGTATGGACTCTGCCTGCACAGGCCCAGCTGGGCACCATTCCTCTGCTTCTTGCATACCAAACTCTTCTCTTATCTTCAGAGTTCATCACTGAATTAAAATACTCTGTTGATAGTGCTAACCATTTTCTCCTGTGACCAAATAATTGTTTCTGAATTTCTTCTGCTTGCTAACTGCCCAGGGACTAGTAAGGGCCTGTTTGGTTCGTGAAATAAAAAATTTTGGATGTCATATCGGACGTTTGACCGGATATCGGATGGGGTTTTCGGACACAAATAAAAAAACTAATTTTATAACTCGTTTGAAAACCGCGAGACGAATCTTTTGAGTCTAATTAATCCGCCATTAGCACATGTGGGTTACTGTAGCACTTATGGCTAATCATAGACTAATTAGGCTCAAAAGATTCATCTCACGATTTCTTCCCTAACTGTGTAATTAGTTTTTCTTTTAATTTACATTTAATGCTCCATACATGTCCAAAGAATCGATGTGATGTTTTTGGGAAAAACTTTTTGGGAACTAAACGGGGCCTAAATATGTTCCGAATTCAGAAGAAAAAACTGTCAAACTAAATCATAAACGGCAGAATCTTGAGTTTCTTTTAGGAAGCAAAAGGTTGCAAGTGAAATGCGAATCATGTTCAGTTGGTTTCTGTTCTATTCCATGAGTGTCCGGACTTTTTGTGCCACATTTTGTTTGGGGGGGGGGGGGGGGGGCTACCAGTTGTGCCCCATACCGCTGTCTGCATACCTGGGCAAGAACCACGGTTTTGTGTGCTTGCTGTGTAGTATGGATCATCAGAAAGAGTTCTTGATTAGCTAAGCGATGACAAATACAAACCAGGTTTAATTAGTGCAAGTGTCATAAATCTCAAAAAGCTAGTCCTAGGTAGTACTTAACCGGTCAATAGAAATAACAAAGGAGATAGGTATTACTAGCATCACAGTTTATGATATGAAAATGAATGGTTAGTGTCAGAACTGGAGCTTTACAAATTTTGTTGGATCAGGGAGAGGATAAGAGTGCCAACTCCATTGCATTGGCTTGTTAAATACTACTAGTAGCCACTAATTAACATGAACCCTCCAATTGTATGGAGCTAGCTTTTAAGTACCTTTAGCTAATTAAACACCCACTTGTTGATGCAGCCTACTGGCAAAACTGGAAGGCCGTACTCCGGGAACGGTTTCGGTATCGTGAGATCGTTGCCTTGTTGTACTGGTAACTGTGAGTATGGACGTCACTGGTAAATTACTGGGCTTATCTATATCCTGCAGTTACTGAACCCTTGTCAAAAGGGCAGGCCATGTGCAAACCAGACGATCAAGAACTCAATTCCCGTTTATAACATTGGAGTTCACTGTTCATCGCAGTAAATGAACAACTAGCTCGTACAAAATTTCTGCATATAATTATATAAAATAGGATTATTGAAAAATTTCACAAAACTGCAGATATTTTGATAAAACTGTCACAAAATCACATGTTTAAGTTGTTGTGTCACAAAATACGCATTTAACATCGAATTTATCACAAAAGTATAGATCTAAGCTATGGTATCTCGTAAAAAGCACATATTAAACACATAATTAATTGCAAAAGCTTTGCAAAAGTATATATTGTAAAAGTTATCTTGATGAAACTTTTAAAATACACAAAGTTAAACTGGGTACAAAGCGATAAATCTGTAGCTTCGTGATATCATTTCTTAAAAATATAGTTTTATGATAAATTGGACCACGTTGATTATGTGTAAAGCTTTAAGTCTGTAATTACTATGGTACTCCCTCCGTCCCAATATATAAAAACCTAGAACCGGATAGGACATTTCCTATTACTGCGAATCTGGACATGCCGCTAGGAAATATCCCATCCGGTGCCTGTCTAGATTCGTAGTACTATGAAATGTCCCATCCGGTTCTAGGTTCTTATATATTGGGACGGAGGGAGTAGTTTTCAATGAAGGGTAAACGGTTTTGTGAAATTTACTCAAAGGGATTATCCTTTTTATGGAACTTCTTACGAAATTCTAACCCAAGGGTAAACTGTGTGTCAACTGTCAAGGAGTAGTAGTAGGAACTGAGCATCCAGGCTGGGAGTTTAGAAATTAGACCAGGTTCAGGTTCTGAAAACCTTTTGGTGCCAAGCGGTGGAGGCGACGAGAGAGAAAGGTCAGAAGTGTACTCGGTTGGTGCAATATGCCGTTCCTATCCTCAATTCCTCCATCCTCCCACCCACGACCCTTGAGCGCCTCGCAACGTCGTCGGCTCGGCTCGACTCGTCTCGTCGCCCACGAATTTTGGAGGGTCGCGTACTGAGCTCGTGGCCCGCGTGACCATTTCTTTTATTTTCTCCCCCTACTTTTCCCGCGCTGCTTTCCCCTCGCGCCATCCAAGCGCCCGCCTCTATATATGCGCGCCGCCACCATGTCCAGCTCCGGCAACTAGCTACTGCGAAGTGCGAACTGATCAGATCGTCGAGAGGAAACCCAAGATCCAACGACGACATGTGTGGCGGCGCGATTCTGGCTAACATCATACCGGCCACGCCGCCGCGGCCCGCCACGGCGGCGCATGTGTGGCCCGGCGGCGACGGGGAGAAGCGGCGGAAGGTTGGTGGAGGCGGGTGTGATGACGACTTCGAGGCGGCGTTTGAGAGATTCGGACGTGAGGACTCTGAGATGGAGGAGGAGGAGGTGGAGGAGGTGGTGGTTGGGAAGAAGGCGGCGGTGAGGCGGCGGAGGGCGACGCCCGCCGCCGGGCGCCGCGCGAGGCCGAGCAAGTACTGGGGCGTGCGGCGCCGGCCGTGGGGGAAGTGGGCGGCGGAGATCCGCGACCCCGTCGAGGGCGTCCGCGTCTGGCTCGGCACGTTCGCCACCGCCGAGGCCGCCGCCCACGCCTACGACGCCGCCGCCCGCGACCTCCGCGGCGCGACCGCCAAGCTCAACTTCCCCTCCTCCTCCTCCTCCACCGCCGCCACCCCACGCCCCCGCAAGTGCCGCCCCACCACCGCCACCGCCACCCCCAAGGCGACGACACCGAACGTCGTCGTCGTCGTCAACCTCGTCGACAAAGAGGCCGAGGTCAGCGAGAGCTCCGGTGCCAGCAGCAGCGCGCTGCCGGACTTCTCGTGGCAGGGCATGTCGGCGTCGTCCGACGACGACGCCGCGGCGCAGCAGGCACTCCTCGACGCCGCCGGCGGCGCCAAGAAGCGTCCCCGGAGCGAGCCCCACGTCACCTCCGACGACGAAGTGCTCCCGGCGTCATTCGACAGTGACAACAACACCGCCGCCGCCGGCCTGCTCCCGCTCGACGATCCTTTCTTGTTCGGCGACCAGTTCGGCGACCTCAACGGCGGCGCGTTCGCCTCGCTCATGGACGGGCTGTTCGCCGCCGGTGAAGCGAACGTCGCCGGCGAGAGCGTGGGGCTCTGGAGCTTCGGCGACGACTTTCTCAACGCGTCGTACTATTAGCTAGGGCTTCCATAGTTCTTGTACTTTACTTGTACTGTACTGTATTGTACTGATTGTTAACGTTGCCATAAAGCAATCTTGCTAGTTTGTAATTCTGCGTGTGTGGTCGAAATTTTCATGTTTGTGTTGTTTGAATCTGTAGTTGTCGTATCGTTTGGGGTGTGTTTGATTTGAACCTGTGTCCCTTCTGACCTTGATTCACCTCAAGCGGCAAAGGAGCCCTTTAACATGTGAAAATTTTGACAGAAACCGGGCCTGATGGACTGCAGTAAAAACAAGAGATTCAGCGTGCATGTAGCTGTAGAAAACTATGATCCAACAGGCCCAAACAACCCAATTAATCTGAACATTCAGAAAGACAAATATGGTCAATTATCCATCATGGCAGTAAAAAAGATAGGAAATTAGTCCCATGGTGTTATGTGTTATTATACTTGTAGGTTGTAATTCGTTCCTTCTTTATTATTATTGTATTCAAAGCTACTTGGCTTCGACTTGCAACATTAAGGGCTTATTCGTTTTTGAAGGATTTTAACACACATGAATAAGAAAATGTGGAGGAATAGGAATTCATGCACACTTCAGTCTATATGAATTTTCCAAGAGATTTGAGTGGATAAAAAATTCCTTAAGTTTCTTCTCTACAACTTGTAGGAAAGGGAAATTTCCTTTGGTTTCTATGGGCCGGTTCAAATCAACAAGCTGCTATTTGTGGCTAAGAAAACAGGTGAATTATTAGCACATGATATATGTGCTATTATAAATTTTAAAAATATATTTATTTGATTTTTTTCCAAAATACTTTTACATATATTTTTTTACACAAAACACATTGTTTATATTGATCTAGGGAACGTGTTATTTGAAAACGAAAAACAAGAAAATTGTTATTTCGAGCTGCCGAAAACGAAACTCATACTTCTTCGTTTTCATGGAGAGATAGATCAGAGAGTTTCGGCCACAAGTTCCATGGAGCTCGTACTGCTTGTGCTGTGTAGTGTGTACTCCTACTTATTCAATTAGGGCCTGTTTAGTTCGCGAAAAGAAAATTTTTGGGTGTCATATCGGACGTTTGACCAGATGTTGGAAGGGGTTTTTGACACGAATGAAAAAACTAATTTCATAACTCGCCTGGAAACCGCGAGACGAATCTTTTGAGCCTAATTAATCCGTCATTAGCACATGTGGGTTACTGTAGCACTTGTAGCTAATCATGGACTAATTAGGCTCAAAAGATTCGTCTCGTGATTTCTCCCCTAACTGTGCAATTAGTTTTTAAATTTATCTATATTTAATACTCCATGAATGTGTCCAAAGATTCGATATGATGTTTTTGGGAAAAAGTTTTTGCGAACTAAACAGCGCCTTAGTAGTACAACTTGCGACAAGTTCTTTTGCTCCTCAAGTACAGGCCCAAGTTGAGTCACAACTCACATCTCACAAGTTGCGTGGCCACAAGAAAAAAAAAGCGTCGGGAAAAAGGTAGTGTCTAGTGCTAACGACTTGGAGCAGTAATATGCATTTATGCTTTCACGTCGGTAAGATGTAATGGGTGCCTAACCTAGGCCGTGCTAATCCTATCTGTTAGTTTGGCCGTCTTTAGATTCAAAATTTTTTCTTCAAACTTCTAACTTCTCCGTCACATCAAATACTTGGACACATGCATGGAGCATTAAATGTGAACGAAAAAAAAACCCAATTGCACAATTTGCATGTAAATCGCGAGACGCATCTTTTGAGCCTAATTACACCATAATTTAACAATGTGATGCTATAGTAAACATTTGCTAAATAACGGATTAATTAGGCTTAATAAATTCGTCTCGCACATTACAGGCGAAATTTGTATTTTGTTTTGTTATTAGTCTACGTTTAATACTTTAAATGTGTGTCCCTATACTTAAAAAAATTTTAGCACACGAACTAAACACATCCTTTATCTGTTGACTATAAACCATTTTGTGCCTTTTGTGTGTGCATTGGTCCATGACACATGGATGACCATAGTGAGATTAGTACTGCTGAAATTGTGTTCATCTAAGGGGGAAAGAGGGAAAGAGGTTGTTGATCAGAGTGAGAGGATGGGGAGTCTAACTGTCTACGCTCTAGTACTTCCTTCGCATGATAAGTTAATATAGTACGGAATATAATATATCCCAGTACTATAAATCTGGACATACATCCGCCAGATTTGTAATATTGTGATCTATCACATCTAACTAGATTAATTTATTTTTGGATAAAGAGAATAAGAAAACTAGACTGGAAAGCCTAACATGGGATCTTCTGCGAGAAATGTGGTTTTCTACGTGGTTTCAGCGGTTTTTGCCGCGGTTTTACGTAGTTACACGTTTGCGTCGTTATGTAAATAATATTAGGGTATCGTGTTTCCTACCAGAACAAAATAATTATGTAATATGTGGGTGTTTACTTTCCAGCTCATCATATGATCAAGCATCACGTTATATAATACTAAATGATTGATCTTTTTTATGAGAAACCACACCATCATCATTTGGAAAACCAAGGTTGAAACAGATGTTGCGGTTGTGTTGATGGATTTGGGGGTCGTGCACACGGTGATCGATAGATGCACGTCTTCACGCGCTAATTATTTTTGGTCAAGACTCAAGAGAGCCAAGTATAGAATAGCCGACAGAGGCATGTTTGGCTTAATTAGGCTGAGACCATGACAATTTTTCAGAGAGTTTGCTGATGATAATATCCGTCGTTTTAGATGCGGTAATATGGTACTTAGTAAAAAAAGGAGCCGTGGATATGATGATATTATCAAAAGAAGTGAGCCTCTTAAGCTCCGTAGACTAGTTAGTTTCCTGACATCCATTAATTTGCTAAGTCGATGATGTGGGAGAACTTAGCACCAAATTGTCTAATTTAGAGTTTTGACTACAACAGAAAATGAAGTGGCATTTTATTTTATTCCGGTTACTTTGTTTATCATTATCTCTAAGAATAATTTATTGATATATGAAAGTTATTTCAGTACAATCGTCAAAAAATATTTTCAATATTATGATTTTACTAGTTTAAAATAATTACTCGGAATCCACGCGGCGTTGTTATAGTACATGATGTGGATGGACGTGTGCGTATATATCGACACGGTGCGAAAATTGCAGTAGTTGGTAGTAGTATGTTTTAATATTTAGAAAAGTAAATAAAATATCACGAGAATAGAATTTAAATGTCTAAGTTCTGGAGATGGCACCGTCCATTTTCAAAACTTTTTCATAAACATTATGCTGATCACTGTCATGTCGGTTAGCTGTACGCCTGTACTATTTGTCTATTTTCAGAGTGTTTTAATGGCTTCTAGTACTATTTTTTTTATTTTCCTCAAAAGTAGCTCATTTTATTAATTATACTCGTAACATATTTTAGTCAAACTTTACCAGACAATATCCTAACTTCGCATTTCTAGCTATATGATACTATACGATGTGATTTTCGGAAGAATACACTCGATAAAACATGTGGGCTGACATGACACGGCCTGTCCAGTGAACCATATCTAATCGGGCAGTGCCCACTACCCAGACATGCATATTATTATTTAGGGTTATTTGTAAAATTTGTCCATATTTTTTTAATTTTGCAAGATGCTACTCGAAAGACAGTTCTAGTAGTATTTTTACAATTTTTTAGTGGCAGTGTTGCAATAATAATTAATGATTTAAACCAGTGGCAAATTTGTAATTGCCTTTATTATTTATTATCCACCATCTCAATCATATACTCCCTCCGTTTCTAAATATTTGACACCGTTAACTTTTTAGCACATGTTTGACTATTCGTCTTATTAAAAACTTCTGTAAAATATGTAAAACTATATGTATACATATAAGTATATTTAACAATGAATCAAATAATATGAAAAAAATTAATAATATTTAGAAACAGAGGGAGTAATAAATAAAATCATGCAATTCCGAATAATAAAATAAAATAAAAATCTACCATCCCAAAGGTGTCCTATATGTTCCGTTTGGAAAATAGAATTAAGCTATGGATACTTTCTTTTTTCAGATTTGCACCGTTTTGGAGGGGGATAGGATATGCAGATTGAGAGTGCTTGGCGAAATTACTAAATTACCCTCGCCGTTTTTGACGTATTGTTTTCGTGAGTTATCCGTTAGTTCGCCCGCCGCCGCCGCCGCCGATCCCCATCCATCCCGCGAGGCGCGAGCGAGCAGGGCGCCGTCGGCGCCGTCGTTCGTCATGCTGCTTCCGCCGCATCCAGGTGAGCACATCCTCCGCCACCGCCGCCTGCGCCGATTCCCATCCATCCATCGCTCGAGCGAGCGAGCGGGGTCGCCGTCGCTTGTCCTGCTGCTTCCGCCGCATCCCTTACGACGCACATCCTCTTGTCTCATCTCCCTCTCTCCACCCACGCAATTTTTTTTCTCGAATTTGCGTTAACCCTAGCTTCGTTGTAGTAGAAATTTGCCTTAACCTTAATACTAACAAATGTTTGTTCCGAAAAAAGTTTGGGGTTGGGGGGGGGGGGGTGGGGTTCAACTTAACCCCTATGTCCCATGTCAGATCCGCCACTGCTTTATTGTGTGTGGCGCATTGTCTCTTAGCTCTTTTAAGGAAAACTAACTATCGTTCTCTATGAAATCTGGCTCGCATTTTCTTTCAAAAAATCTGGCTCGCACGCACTGCTGGTGTAAATATGATGATACATTGTAAGAATGAAATATAGAGTTATTAAGTTTAGTTTCTTTAGCAAGTTATTAATGATTCATACACTGTTTATGAGTGTGCCATTTTACCCAGGTTTCCAAAGGCTGCTTGCTGGCACAGCTTGGAGAACGTATATGGTTAGAACAGTGAAAAAGGCTTTAAAACCAAATGAATTATTCTGTTTCCTGTCATTTCCTTTAAATATCACGCGATCCAAACTTCTAGCCCTAAGTGTGGTAAGAAATCACTGTAGGATGATGCATCCTCACAAGCCGTAGAGCAGCTTGGGAAAAACTGGAAATTTAAAACTGTCTTAGCTAAAGGAATTCTTGCTGTCCGCATATTACTTTCATGGTTAATTTGGTGTCAAATTACATGCTTATCAGCATTTTTAGTGCTATATGTCTGGAAGCACTATATACACAATGATAAATGAGGTAGGTAGTATAGGCTACTAGACCTCTTGTTGATGTCTAGTTCCATTTTGTCATGAATAGGAAATGCTAGTGCATCAGGATAGTGAATATTCCTCCGGGAGAGATCAGACGGTGACATCTTGAGGTAGAAGAATGATAAGTGAAATCTATTGAATAACACATGAATAGAATTTCACTCTATTAGGGTCCACTAAGCCAAGGCTAGATATGTTCTTTTCCATAGCAGCTTGAAAACACCAGCCGTTGGTTATCTGTTATGTACTATAATATATACTGCCTCTGTAATGTTGGTACCTCCATTTGTAAACATGATGGTTTGGAGATGGGTGGGGTCCCCAATAATAAAAGACTATGTGAATAACTCACCTTTTATGTGAAACTAATGGTATCAATTTCACATCACCATCTTAATAGAACTTTATATATCAGTGGTTAGAGTTAAAGAAGTATATCTGTGGAGATTCTAAATCATCAATCATTAACTCTTTGTACTTTGAAAACAGACATATGGATGTGTTTTTGTGCATTGAAAACCTGTTTGAACTTAATTAGATGATCGGTTGGTACTGTTCTTGCAAGTTTCCTTAGCCCCATTCTTCTTGATCAAGGTTTTCATCTACCTCTATCTTCCAGGATGCATTGTATTGAAAAAATGTTTCAAATCTACTTCTAGTTAGGTAGGTAGACTTCCAGCCTTTATTTTCCTCTCTTTTTGCTATCATGTTTAAGAACTCAAAGCACAATGGAACTTGTGGCTAAAACTCACAGCCTCACTGGCAGCGTGATAGAAGGCTAACTGCTAGTGCAAGTAATGCTGAGAGCAAACATTATATGAGTGGGCATGGTATGTTTTACCAGAGTAATGCGCTTGATTAATGGGCTGAAATTGTAATGAACCTTCACATGGACATGAAACAGACCAGCTGAAATTGAATGGCTTCTTCTTCCCTAAATTGCTTTCTTGATTTCCCTATTACAGCTTCCTCTGCCCTGCATTCATCCAGATAGGATTAAATTGTTAAGGCACATAGCAGGTCTACATTAAATGGCCCATACATTTTATCCAAATCTTACCCATATGGGTCAGATGTGTATGATTGTATGCTCTGATCTGTAGCGGCTTATATTTTTCCTTTTAGTTAATTGTAACCGACAAGCTGGGCTCCACATGATATTTATATGTTTTGGTAATGCAACCTTTTCGTAAAAGAGAACTATTCGTTATTTTAACATACAAACACATCCTTTTTCATTTCATTTTTTAGAAGTTAATTACGTGTGAATGATCATAGCAGGTCATGTATGTGAACACTGCTGACTCAACATGAAACTGCCACTGATAAACAAATATAGAAAGAAGGAACTGCTTATGGCACTATGATTTTTTTAAAAATTTTATGCACTTTATGTACACTTGTTTTCGCATTATGGGAATGGGGTGAAGTGGAAAAAGAAAGTTGTGCCATGGCCATCTGTATGTCCAACTTCTATGTATCTATATATCTTGTGTACTGCGAACCCTTCAATCTGAAACATTTAGTTTTCGTCCTTATTCATTACTATGCTATTGTTTCTTGGGTTTCAGGCAGAACATTACCAGCCTATCATGGAGACAACAGATTTCTTCTTGGAGCTTGTTTCCTGAGTAAACTGCCTATGCTGCGCCCAATGAAGTTGTCTTTGGTATGCAGTGCTAATCCCAACAACCATAGGTCAAGAAGTTCGGATATCACACGCCATCAGAAGGGTGGATCAGCTCGGAGGAAAAGTAAGCCTTACCAGGAGAAAGATGACTCTGAGAATATTGATGAATTCGATACTGATATTATGTCCTCCAAAAATGGACCACCCATCTCTTTGACAAGCAATTCCCGTCCTCAAGCAACATCAGTCCCAGGGGAAAGAGAGAAGGAGATAGTAGAGTTGTTTAAAAGGGTTCAAGCACAATTGCGAGCAAGGGGAAAAGGGAAGGAGGAGAAGAAGCCTGAACAAGCAAAAGCACAGGGTGAGAGGGGCAGTGTTGACTCCCTTCTAAATCTGCTTAGGAAGCACTCAGTGGACCAACGAAGGAAGAGCGGTGATGAGAAAGAACAGAGTGTTGACCAAACAAAGAGAAGCAATGAATCTGGAAATAAACAAAATTCAAGCATCTTCATAAAGAATGACACTCAGGAAGAACAGAAAAAGCCACATCCTGCAGCCTTCAAAAGGCCAGCTTCAAATTTTAGGCGAAGATCCCCTGTTCCTAATGTAAAGTTCCAGCCTGTTACCAATGTTGATGCCGAACGAGTCATCAATAACATCAATGATGCCGTACAAGAGGCTAAGCCAACTTTGGAAAATAAGGCTGCTACAGATGAACCAGACTCGGTTTCTACATTCGAACCTAATTCTGTAATAGAACCAGAAAACCTATCTTTGGATGACCTTGATCATATTTCAGATGATGAACCTGATGCTTCTGATACTGATGAACCCAGTGGAGAATATGATGAGCCATCTTTGCAAATCCCAAGTGTTCCAATTATTGATGAATCTCATGATACGACTCTGAAATCTTCCTTAGGAGGTCCTGATTTAAGCACTTTGAAGGTCACAGAACTAAGAGAACTTGCGAAATCTCGAGGAATCAAAGGATATTCCAAGATGAAGAAGAATGACCTGGTTGAACTGCTGAGCAACATGGCTTGATCCATCAGCAGCCCTGTCAACTTGGCTCTGTTTTGTCCCTTGTTAGTCACATTGTCTTGGGCATATGCACTATCTTGCCATTCCTATCTTATCTAGATGAAGTTCTTTTAGGTAGAAAACTGTAAATGAGCAAGGTAAACAATGTTCTGTTCTGGTTTTATCGTTGCCCTTTCTGTTACCTAGCCTCTAGTTACCATTGTTTTTGCGTAAATCCTTCATCAGAATTGAACCCTGGATTGGCCATAAGACTGGCAACGATTCGACGTCATGCTGATTATGTTCTGATGTGTAGTGTTCTATTCTTATCTCTGTTGTTTCTCCTTTCTCATGGCAGCTCTTGTCTGCTGTTGCATGGTTTCTCTCGTTTACATCCATGGTTGTTACTGAACGTTTGATGCACAAGTCTTTTGTGTGTTCATGAAAAGAATAAGCAGAAGCAACCTATAATGGATTTCTTTGGTGTTCAATCGTTTACTGTCTTTGTTCAGAGCCAAGGTACTGATTGGGAGGATTTCCTGGGAATTGTCTGCCTCCCGATTATCAATTCAACAATCAGCTTCATTAAGGAAAACAATGCAGGCGATGCAGCTGCTGCACTCATGTCCCGGTTGGCGCTAAAAACAAAGGTTTTTTTTTCTGAACAGAAATTTAAAAATTGCAAGTGAATCCATTGTGCTAGTCTGATCTTGTTGTATACATGGATTTGCTACCAGGTTCTTAGAGATGAGCAGTGGCAAGAGCTTGATGCTTCCACATTGGTACCTGGGGATATAATCAGCATCAGGTTTGGTGACATTGTCCCTGCAGATGCGTGCCTACTTGAGGGAGATCCTCTGAAAATGAATTGCCACACGCCGTTCATGCGAAAGATGTCGATCACTGGAATGTCAGACTAGTTGCTCCGTGTAAATAATTTGATCACATTTTTGTTTGTCCTTCATCTTGTAGTCAGCTCTCACTGGTGAATCCCTTCCTGTCACCAAAAGAACCGGGGACCATAGTGTTCACTGGCTCAACATGCAAGCATGGTGAGATTGAAGCTGTTGTCATTGCAACTGGGATACACTCTTTCTTTGGCAAGGCAGCTCATCTAGTGGACTCCACTGAGGTTGTTGGGCATTTTCAGAAGGTGATTCATCAATCTTTAGACTGTAATAAGATTATAAGAACCTCACAAGTGGATGTGCTGTAAGCTGTTTCTAACCACTGAATTTTCTGATTCTTACCTCCATAGGCAACTTCTGTATCTACTCAATCGCCATTGGTGTGATTGTTGAGGTTATAATCATGTTCCCAATCCAGCACCGGTCATACCGAGATGGGATTACGACTTCCCTCTGTTTATGGTTCTGATCATAGCCATACTAAATGATGGTGACGATCATTTCTCTCTGAATTTTACTGTTTCTGAAGCATAAATATATAGGTTCGGCATCTGCTTTGATCAGGAACTATCATGACAATATCAAAGGATCGCGTGAAGCCATCACCAAGCCCAGATACTTGCAGCTGGAGTTGTCATCGTAGCCTACCTTGCATTGGTCACCATGCTGTTCTATTTGTAACTCCTCAATAGGCTTCATGTCTGCACATTACCAGAAGCAAATTTTCAGATGATTGCATAAAATAGATAACAAAACAAAGTATGATGATCAGCAAGGCTGATATCAGGTAAGCATACGTTTAACTTCGTTTGAAGGGAATGAGGTGAATGGTTGCTGCTGTTCAAAGTGTTCTTCCATTGCAGCTTTGCGTTTTCTTCTCCTTATCACAAAGAATGCAAGGACTGCCCCAGAGCTTCCACCAAAACATGAACCACCATTGTCTTGACCTGGGCTGTTTGGACGGTTTGGTGGAGGGGGGAGCTGTATATGATGGAGGTGGTGGATTTCCGTCAATTCTGTACACAAGGATCATAATAGGTCAGTGTACAACTCTCATTTTTGCATGTTCATAAGCCAGGAGAACTCACTGTAGATTGTTTAACTTCTTAATTTGACTAGGAATCCAGCCAGTGAAATGATTTTTTGCAACATTCCTATATAGGAAAGCAAAGATATGAGATGTGGTACTGCACGTGCAAATAAAATATTAATTACTTATAGGTTGATTTCTTACAGATCATCAAGGGAGAGATTAGCAAGGACATTGATATAACCAGTAAATTTATTGTTCTGCAGATATCTGAGAAGAACGAGTATGGGATCACAGGCATATCACTCTAAAAAGACATATCTATGAGATAAAAATAATCCAAAAATAATCCTTTTTCTTACAATGCCTGTAATCCCATGCTCGTAGATATGCCTGTAAACCCATATTCGTAGAAATATCTATTTTTATCTCATAGAAATACACACACACATACATATGTACAGCATTCATTATAAGAAACGTGATAACAAAAAAAAAAGAAAGTCACTTTTTCGAGTTGCCGAAAAAAGAACTCATACTTATTTTTTCTGTAGAGATCAGCGAGTTTCAGCTACTAGTTCCATGGAGCTCGTACTGCTCGTGCGTGTGTACTTCCTTTAGGTGGTATAACTTGCGACAGAGGTTCTTTTGCTCCTCAAGTACAGGCCCAAGTTGGGCCACAAGTTGCGTGCCCACAAGCAAAAAAAAAAAAATCACCTGTGAAAAGGTAATGCCAAGTGCTAACGACTTGGATTGGTCGCTGTAAACTCACGAAATGCATAGTAATATGCATTTGTGCTTTCACGTCAGTAAGATGTGATGGGTGCCTAACCTAGGCCGTGCTAATCCTATCTGTTAGTTTATCTGTTGACTACTGTGCATCATTTTGTCCAACTTTTTTTAGAATTACACTATTTTGTCCATTTTGTGTGTGCGTGCATTGGTCTATGACGTATGGATGACCATAATGAAGTTAGTACTGTTGAAATTGTGTTCATCTAACGGATAAAATGGGGAAGAGGTTGCTGATCAGTGAGAGGATGGGGGAGCCTAACTATCTACTCCCTCCATCCCATAAAAGAACAATCTAAGATGGGGCATGATATTTCTTAGTGCAATGAGAAAACGTCACATATTATCCTATGTTGTTTTTTTGTGGACAGAGAACATAAGAAAACTAGAGTAGGAAGCATATTCTGGAATCTTCTGCGAGAAATGTGGTTTCAGCGGTTTTTGGTGTGGTTTTACGGTATGTGCACGTTTGTGTTATTATGTAAATAATATTAGAATATTTTGTTTCCTATAAGGATAAAAATAATTTTGTAATGCGTAGGTGTTTACTTTTCAGCTCATCATATGATCAAGCATGATGTTATATAATCAAATGATATACCCTTTTTTATGAGAAACCACACCACCATTTGGAAAACCAAGGATGAAACAAATGGTGCAATTGTGTTGATGGATTTGGGGGTCATACACACGGTGGTCGATAGATACATGTCTGCACGCGCTAATTATTTTTGGTTAAGTGAGCCAAGTATAGAATAGCCGACAGAGGCATATTTGGCTTAATTAAACTGAGACCATGACAATTTTTTTATAGAGTTTGCTGATGATAATGTTTGTCGTTTTAGCTGCGGTAATATGGCTCTTAGTAAAGAAATGTACCGTCGATATGATGATCTTTTCAAAAGAAGTGCGCCTCTTAAGCTCCCTAGACTAGTTAGTCTCCCGGCATCCATTAATTAATTTGCTAAGTCGATGATGTAGGAGAACTTTGCACCAAATTGTCTAGTTTTGAGTTTTGACTACACAAAAAATGAAGTGGCATTTTTTTTATCCCGGTTACTTTGTTTATCATTATCTCTAAGAATAATTTATTGATATATGAAAATTATTTCAGTACAATCGTTAAAAAAATGTATTTTCCATATTATGATTTACCAATTTCAAAAAAAAATACTCGAAATCCATATGACAGTATTCTAGTACATGGGGTGATGTGGATGGACGCGTGCTTCATGTATCTACACGGTGCGAAAATTGCAGTAGTTGGTAGTATTTAGGTTTCCATATTTAAAAGAGTAAATAAAATATCACAAGAATAGAATTTAAATGTCTAAGTTCTGGAGATGGTACTCTCCATGTTCAAAACTTGATCATAAACATTAGGCTTCAGGGTGTCATATTGGCCCCTAAATTGTTTCCATGAAGAGCGCTGATCACTGTCATGTTGGTAAGTTGTGCTATTTATCTATTTTTACAGTGCTTTAGTGGAATCTTCTTCTAGTACTATTTTTTATTTTCCTCGGAAGCAGCTCATTTTATTAATTATATTTGCTGCTTTGCCAAGTAAGTGGAGCGTGGTGACCACGAGCCACATATTTTAAGAAGGGAGCATTGAACTTACCATTCAAGGATCGATCGCGATCGATTCCTAAAAAATAGCCATAAGTGCAGAAAAGCATTGGGAAGGAGACATGCTTAAAAAAATGCGGATGGTGGATAATAACAATGCTAATTAGCCTGTCGTCTGCTCTAATCCCTTTAGCTTTGTTGTTGATCTGTTCTCTAGCTACCTTAAACTGAATTTTTGTTGTTATTGGAGAGCTTAATTGTTAGTATTTGTGGAAGTGTGTGACATCATTGCTGAGTAATCAACTTAACCTATAGCATTTAGGATCCTTTGTGGAGGGAAATTAGTAGGCTTGCCTGAAGTGTTACCCCCTACTCCACCTTCTAGCTATCAATCATTAGTTTGTTTTACTAGTAACCACGCACTCCATATCACTTGGTTTTTCTCTCCAAGTTAAACTTTATTTACTACAACACCTAACCAGTTTTTATTAAATGTATATTAAGAATATTTGTCATTATATTTATTTTCGGTTAGAAATACCGCTACATCTTTATCCTCACAATTAATATGAACAGAAGTAGTTGTCGGTACCTGATAAACCTAATTAAAGATAACATGTATAGCATTAGCTTGTTTAGGTTTACCGGATTATTATTTTCATCGTTTATTTATTGGCTTATCAGGCTAAAGTAAATTTAAAATTATAACTTAATCTTAGAGATGATTATTTTTGGGTCATTTTTCATGTTAGCCTATTTATTAGCCCTTTGTTTTTAGACTGCCAATAATAACACCGATATAAAATTTTTACTTATAAATTATTTTTCGATGTTTAATGAAACTTACCAGAGCAGTACTCTTTAATTAACTACCTGCCTTTCTTATTACAAGATCAACTAAAAATTTTCTCCGCGTAAAGCTAAAGCTCAGTGCTGAATCTACAGTGCCATGATCACGCAGAATTGGTGCGGGATAACTTCGTGGGGATTCGCATGCAAGGTGATAATTAGTTAAGACAAAAAAAAACAGAAAGCAAAGTTTTAGTGGCACACCTAGGGTGTATTTAGTTCACGCTAAAATTGAAAGTTTCTAGCTTTATATGTGTAGGAAAATTTTAATGTGATAAAAAAATTAAAAATTTATTGAAAAAGTTTGGAACTAAACAAGTCTTAAACAAAGGCTAACCTTATCTCGCGCGAAGACGCAATTAGGCGTCCTTTTTAGAGTTGATTAATTTTTGGGGGGCCAAGCCGAGCGGAGTGGACCGTGACGAGGACGGAGGATGCATGTGTCCGCCACAAGCCAGGGAGAGGAAGAGAAGAGACGCCGCGACACGACACTTGCCTAGTTCTCGTCGTCTACGCATGCGGCGCTCGTAAAAGTTGGGCGTTCTCCCCGAGTACTGGCATTATATATCAGCAGTAATTTTTAGGTATAAATTGTTTTAAAATATCAGATAAATTAATTTGTATTCATATATCTTTACATTCTTTAACGTATGCTAAAAAGAATTTAAAAAAAAAGACAAGCAAAAATATATTTATGTGTGTGTAATATCTGTGAGTAGCGGGATTTGAACCATGATAGATAGTCATGCGAGCACAACTCTACCACCTCACTATTAGTGTTTTCTCGGAACTTTTCTTTATACGGTGTCGTTCCCAGGTTCTTGCCTTCGGTTACTTCGGATGTCAAGGATCCTCGGATTTGGCCACATGGCACCTGTAGTTCTAGCTAGAGTTGAAAAAAAAAAGAGAGATCGAGAGAAGAGCACAATAGGAGTAGGGTATAAACGGCTCGAACCTATATAAACTGCTTGCCTCCCGCTATGTCAAGCATCCAGGACATAGATAATATGATTTATCTAATTAACTACCAGATATTTTCAACGCTGGAATTCCTAATAATTTCCGAACTACTATAGGTATATAGATTTGATCACTATATCGTTTAGATCTTTCAATTATGATGAACAAGATTTACATGTGTTTATATTTTCATGTAATTTGCTTGTTTAGATTTTTGTTAGTCTTTTTTAACAAAATATGAGCGCTCAAACTAAAATTACGTGAAATCAAAATTGCCAAGTACTATATGTAAAACGACGAAGGGAGTACCAAGTGAATGCTTCCACTAACACAGGGACCCAACGATACTACGATAAATTCCCAACCTTATCGCTACAATCAAATAAGTACTTGCTCCGTTTCATATTATCGTTCCACTTTTTTTATTGTTAAATTTTATTGTGTTTAACCAAGTTATAGAACAATTTATCAACACTCAAATATCAAATCAGTTTCATTAAATATAGCATTGAATATATTTTGATAATATGTTTGTTTTATGTTAAAAATACCTCTATATTTTTCTATAAATTTGATCAAACCTAAAGAAATTTAACTGGTATATATAAAAGCCAAACGACTTATAATATGAAACGGGGGAGTAGAAATTTAACTGGAATGATCTTTTTTTTTTCAAGTCAATAGATCACACTTTTAGAACACCATGTTGGTCACCATTCACGGCTGCAGGCAGGGCATGCATTGCATGGACCAGCAAAATAATATCTTCCCACTTGGGTTGAATCAGTGCAGTGTACGCATATGCATGCATGAGTCTACAAATATCTTGCCACTTGGACAGAAGATTAGTTCGTGTAGGCCACGCATCTATCCATCCGTAGTTAATTATCATGTTTGAGCTGGCCTCTTGAGTGTGCCGATATAGATCTCTGGTCTATGTGAATCTAATGAGAGGTTGAGAAAGAGAGTAGGTTTGAAGGAAGGGAGCTCTGCTCCTATGATTATCCATTCAAGTGCTTGGTGTGAAAGAGGTGCTCTTCTATGAGCTGATCACTTCACTGTAACTCAATTGGGGAATAAGATGGCATTGTATTAAAAAATAAATCAAGACATATTTCTTTGCCTCAACGGCGAAGCCGGGATTTAGACATGAGAAGGGACTACTCCATCCGTCTCAAAAAAAAAACCTAGAACTGGATAATATACATTATAATACAACGAATCTGGACACATTATAGTACTATATTGGTTTTTTATGGAACGGAGGAGACCTAATACACCATTATTTAGGTTAATTAATTAATTAGTTAGATAACTATGTCAAAAAAATTTGTTGGAGGGGACAGACCACTCCGCAATTGTTTGCCTGTTAGTATATTACTAGAAGAGGTAAAAAAAAGTCATCATACTATTTGTTATGAAGGTTTAATGTCACCATTGTAATTTTTATTTTAAATTCTAGCTCGTCCAGAATTGCATTATAAAAAACCACCAGTTTATCTTTGTATCAAATAAAACAAAATGTCATATGCGCTCGAGAGGAGAAAGGGTGATACTGTGAGAGGAATATGTAGTGCAGGTGCATTTGGTGTGTGTTGGGCTGATGAGTTGGCCGAGTGGGGGCATCATATTTTGTTTAGTGGAAGCTCATCTTTGAAGAGTGGATCTGAGCTAATTATGAGGAATAAATATATAGGTGACCTAATTAAAGGCACTAACATAAAATCAGAGAGTATTTTATACGCTATCAAGTTTATGACATTGAATTCGTCTCTCTCTCCCTTTATACAATAACTTACCAGATTAGGCATACAATATGTATGAGCGGCACTTACTTGACAACAGTCATATATTATCGAGCAAAACTTCGAAGTTGTGGGCATAAAAAGAACATAGGCGAAATCAGAACATATTACACAATCAGAGCAAACTTGACACTACATAATTAATCTATATCTTTTATATAGTTACAGCCACTAAGCATCAAATGATCAACATGCAAGTACAATAATATAGTACATATTATAACTTAAAATACAACTATACTACATCATTTACAAATTACTAAAATTTAAACTCGATATATAAGCCTGGTAAATCATCATACTTATTATATCATTTTCACAATATTTGAACCAAAACTCATCAATCATTCTACAAAATTTAAGATGTATTTATTTGTATATCATGCAGCAAAATACGGGATGTCATCTAGCTTTTTAAAAAGTTGACACCTTGATGCTCCAAGGACATATATGTGCCATTGAAGGAGTTAATTAGCGTAGCTACGTTGTCCACCCGCACTTTTTTCCATTTTAGTAACAAACTTTCAACTCAAACCATACAAGTGTTTTTCAAGAAACCAAATCATACGAATTATAACTTAAAATCATATTACCAAACTCCTGACTATGGCCTCAAAACATCCATCAAGAATTACACAATTCTAAACTAAAACTCCAAAAACTTTTATCAGAAAATATGTGCCGAAAACACAGCTGCGCTAAATAGCAATTTCGGATAAATAGGTGGTGTTTGAATCTCCTGAAGATGAAGATAAAGACAAAGATTAAGTGTTTTACGTAAAACGAGATGGTAATAACGTGTGATTAATTGAGTTTTAATCATTACAAACTTGAAAAATGGATTAATCTGATATTTTAGACAACTTTCATATAGAAAGTTTTCGCACGAAACACACCGTTTAGCAGTTTGAAAAACGTGCCACATTTATGCTAAAGTTTATCCAACTTTTATCGGAGATTCAAACAGAGGCGAGACATGACGTGGCACGTCAGCTTGGGGGCATCTGTGCGCGACATCTGGCATGCCAGTACGTCATCCGCCAACTCATCCAAATTTGTGTTTATAAATGTACTATATATATTTTTTTCCCTCCCTCGGTTACAAGAACAAAGGCATTCGCAACACACACTTGAAGAAAAAAAACACGACGAACACGTTAAAAAAAGGTCGAAGAGAAGTGGGAGACCCAAACCGCGAACAATGTGTGGAGGCGCCATCCTCGCCGAGTTCATCCCGGCGCCGTCGCGCGCCGCGGCGGCGACCAAGCGGGTGACCGCCAGCCACCTGTGGCCGGCCGGCTCCAAGAACGCCGCCCGCGGCAAGAGCAAGAGCAAGAGGCAGCAGAGGAGCTTCGCCGACGTCGACGACTTCGAGGCCGCCTTCGAGCAGTTCGACGATGACTCCGACTTCGACGACGCGGAGGAAGAAGACGAAGGACACTTCGTGTTCGCGTCCAAATCTCGTGGTAATGTTCGTCGCGTGCGATCTCGTCTAGGTGTTCGATCGTGATGGCGATGAGTTCTTGGCTTGATCTCACCGAGGAAGATTGGTTTGGTTTGGTTTTGTTCGTGCAGTCGTCGCCGGGCACGACGGGCGCGCGGCGGCGAGGGCGGCGAGCAAGAAGAAGCGGGGGCGGCACTTCCGAGGCATCCGGCAGCGGCCATGGGGGAAGTGGGCGGCGGAGATCCGCGACCCGCACAAGGGCACGCGCGTCTGGCTCGGCACGTTCAACACCCCGGAGGAGGCCGCACGCGCCTACGACGTCGAGGCGCGCCGCCTCCGCGGCAGCAAGGCCAAGGTCAACTTCCCCGCCACGCCCGCCGCCGCGCGCCCACGCCGCGGCAACACGAGAGCCACCGCCGTGCCACCGCCGGCGACAGCACCCGCCGCCGCCCCGCCGCGCGGACTGAAGCGAGAATTCTCGCCGCCTGCTGAGACCGCGCTACCTTTCTTCACCAACGGCTTCGTCGACCTGACGACCGCCGCGGCGCCGCCACCGGCCATGATGATGACGAGCTCCTTCACCGACAGCGTCGCCACGTCGGAGTCCGGCGGGAGCCCCGCCAAGAAGGCGAGGTCCGACGACGTCGACTCGTCCGAGGGCAGCGTCGGCGGCGGCAGCGACACGCTGGGTTTCACCGACGAGCTGGAGTTCGACCCGTTCATGCTGTTCCAGCTCCCCTACTCCGACGGCTACGAGTCCATCGACAGCCTCTTCGCCGCCGGCGACGCCAACAGCGCGAACACCGACATGAACGCCGGCGTCAACCTGTGGAGCTTCGACGACTTCCCAATCGACGGCGCCCTTTTCTGATGTACTCCTCCATTGATGCAGTTTGTGCACTCAATTGTAAGCATCTGAATTCACTTCCATTTTAATGGATTCAGTTAAAAACTTAAAATCCATCTGTTCATCAGGATTATATATCTTGATCAGATACCATGCCATTTCTTGGTTCAGGTTAATCACGTCGTCGTTGATGAATGTTTAACCGGAGGATGATGGGGTGCAGCTGATATCATGGCTTGCTTGATTACCGAATTATATTGCGGTGTTTGTGTTTGTCAATTAGATTCTGAATCTGTACTACTGCCGATCTTATGATCAAAACTATATATTAAGTTTATGTACTCTTAATTTGTGGGCTACTTTTACGGGGTCTTCGTACTGCTGGTCAAATAGTCCTATGAAATCGATCATGTCGGCAATATCGTCGTCAATTATCGTGGTCGTGGTTGTTAATGATGTCAAATAAGTCTATGAAAACCTGGTCCTCTTGGTGTTTATGTACCACTGATCGATCCATCATTTGATCTCTGTCATGTTGAGATGGATCGTGTAAGAATATCATAATTTGCTGGATTCAGTCCAGTCGTAATGTATTTTGGTTTGTACAACTGCAATTTTGCTTTGTTTGGATTATAACTGCTGAAAAAATAGAGGGAGAGAAAGACAGGTTTTTTTTTATCGTCTGAATTTCTCATTTGCCAAACAGCAATCAGGTAGATGATCAGAAAACCATTGTTCAGTATTCCTTTTTTTCTGAAAACCCGTACGGTTTTCCTATCTGCTGGCAATCCTGTTTGCCACAACACTTGATCAGTTCATATCATGTTTTATGTTGCAGCTTGCAAAATTTTTTAAAAAAAAATCTGTCATGTTTTATGTTGCAGCTTGCAAAAATTAAAAAAAAAATAAATCTGTCTTTTTCAGCAAGTTTTTTTATTCAGGAACAGTACCGCTACTACAGGGATGTGAAAACCGACGCGCGAAACGGTGGGCGCCTTATGAAACCGTGGTTTTGCGATTTGATTAGTGATATTTTAGTCGGCAATTTGCGCAAATTGCTCTTATCTTTCTTACCTAGATGAGGCCATGACAGTGACTTTGCTCAACTAAATTCCAAATTAAGTTGGGGTTGCAGGATTCTCAAGCAAATATAAAAGTTTAGGTGCGCACACGCAGCAAGCAAAGGCAAATTACCTAATGAGGATGAGCAGAGAACTTGGCAAGGTCTGCAGGGACTAGCATTGTTTAAATGCAAGTTGAGTGTGCCATGGCATTATACACCAGGACCATTACATGCTATACCTAATCTCATCTCCTTCAGAAAAAAAAAACTACTAGTTGCACACTTGCATGATTGCATCTATTATACTATGCATGTAGTCGTAGATAGCTCGGGAAGATAGCCCAATTCGGTGGTCCATGATTCTCCATTGAAGATTGGATCTACCATTCATTGTTCATTTGTTCTTGATATAAAGTTGTGTTGAGTTTCAAATGGCTACTTGAACCTGTTCCACTATCTGAATAATTTTCCCTGCAGATCCTAAGAAAAAAAAAATAGAATCTTCAATTCTCTTGATGATAATTGTTTTCATGGCTTGGAGGGTTTGCACAAGCTTTTCTTATCCTGGCATAGAACTTTCAGGATCAATAGAAGAAACTGAATAATTAGTACCATCATAACCAGCTCCTAACTTCTTTTACTTGGAGAACTACCAGTTGGCCATGCTTATGGTTGTGGAATTGCAAATAGCCCTAAAAATTTTCCTCTAGCCATTTTGTGGAATTCGGATTTTGGTTCTGAATTCCATCAAACAGATAGAACTCCTCCAATTACCTTCATTTCCATCGAAAAAGACCGGTAGAACGTGACCAACTGCCTATTCACAACACACAAACATTGTGCAAGAATTTGTTAGTACTGAGTGCTCCGTTAACAAAACTTCACCAAAAGCAAAAGAAGAGTATAGATGAACACTCATATACGCTTCCTTTCAAAAACAAAACAGAAATCACTCACATATGAAAACATAGATCACCGATCTCTGCTGAACCAATGCACCCTGATGGAAACAACAGCCTTCAGAGTTCAGAGTTCAGATTTCAGTTCAGACACCCACATTGGACATCATAGTATGCATCTGAAAAAGGAGAGAAAACATGAAATGGATCATCAACTTGGGATGCTATAAGTAGCAAAGAAATGACATGGTGGGGTTACACTGTTACGCTTGATGGCATGAAATCTAAGGGTTTCTAACCCTTTCTGCAAATGAGGACAAACGGCTGGTCTTATACTAGTGTTACTCATGGTTTGATGCTTCCAAATTCTGAACTTTATGCAAGTCTGTGGGAGTATAACCAACCCTGGGTAAACACTAAAGACAGGCTGTGGGCTGAAAGAAGAGCCCATGGTATTCTTTCCTACTGTTTTGTGCTATACTAAAGTATACTCTTTTCATGACAGCATCTACACCGGTTCACATTAGCTCCAACCTATTCTAACAAGATTTTGACAGTATCATTTGGAGGGTATATTCAGAAAACCTTTCTTTGTGCACGTGGATATGATTTTGAGTTTTGTCATAATGCTCACATGCCAGAGAGAGAGAGAGAGATTAAGACATCACTGTGTGTTTTGCCATTGGACATTGGACAGTGTTTGGGCGAGCTCCACATGTTAGTGACTAGACTAAGAGCATTAAGATTTACAATTGTTGTATATTCATTCATATCATCAAATGCTCCTTGAATAGGACTCCTTTGGATTAAAGGCACTTCAAAGGAAATTTGGAGGATTTTATTTCTTCGGAAAATTTCCGTATACTAGCTCATTTAGAACAAAGGGATGCCATTGGTCCATCTCTCATAAACACATAATAAGATCCATGCTGCAGCTGGCTACAAATCTATACTCTAGTATGATTTTCTTCTCTCTCTCTTTTCACATGCGCTTGTAGTTACTCCCCCCGTCCCATTTTAATTGCAGTAGAATAGTGTGGGTTTCTGTATCTAACGTTTGACTGTCCATCTTATTTTAAAAAATTAAATAAAATAAGTCACAAATAAAGTATCATTCATGTTTTATCATATAATAATAATAAAAATATTGTTTATAAAAATATTTCAAATAAAACGGATGATAAAACGTTGCGCGCATAAACCCACAATTACATTTAAAATGGGACAGATGGAGTAGTTTATAGCATGCTATTGTATTTGTTGAACCCTTAATCCCAGAAAATCTCCACATCTACTGAACCTTATAGGTGTGTTTGGCAAATGAGTTATGAGAGGTGTGATTGTTAAAGGGAAATAGATGAATGGCTATAATTAAATGAGGTGAGAAGTATGGATGCTAGTGTACAATATTACCCTATCCTTTTTTTCCCAATAAAGTCTATGTCCTTATCCCAGTAAAGTTCACAACATCGAATATCCAATCAATTTAACCTGCAACCAACTTTTGCCACAATTTTTTTAAGGAGACGAATTGACAACGAGGCAGCCCACAGACTTCGGCGCCCACAAGATCGGGAGATAGCGGCCCACGGAGACTAGACAGCCCATCCCCACATCAGCCAGCGACGGCGACGCCGACGACGACGACTTTTCCTCTATTTACCACTCTCCCGCGTCGCGCCATAGCGACGTCTCTCCCGGAGAAAGAAGAGCGCGCCGCGCCATGTGCGGCGGTGCAATCCTCGCCGATTTCACCCCGGCGAGGGTGCCCCGGCGGCTGACCGCCGCCGAGCTCCTGCCGGTGACCCCGACTCCCCCCGCCGCCGAGAGGAGAACCACCCGGAAGCGCAAGTCCGACGTCGACTTCGAGGCGGAGTTCGAGCTTTTCGAGGACGACGACGACGACGATGAGTTCGAGCTTTCCGACGATGGCGACGAGAGTTTGGCCGTGTCATGTGTGTCGTCCCCCAAGTCGAAGGCAGTACCTTCGTTTTCTTGTACGATGAGATGGAGAAATCTTGCCTGCTTTCTTGAAGGATTTTCACCTGACGGCAACCTGAACTTTACACGATTTCTTCTCCTGCTGTTGATTTCATCGATCGCCGGCGGCAGTTTCGTCGGATGTCTCCTCGAGCTCCAGGCCGCGGCGGCGCGTGGCGGCGGCGGCGGCCGGTCGTCGGAAGGCGAGCAAGAAGAGCAAGTACAGGGGCGTCCGGCGCCGGCCGTCGGGGAGGTTCGCGGCGGAGATCAGGGACCCCAAGAAGGGGCGGCGCGTGTGGCTCGGCACGTACGGCAGCGCCGAGGAGGCCGCCATGGCCTACGACCGCGAGGCCCGCCGCATCCGCGGCAAGGGCGCGAGGCTCAACTTCCCCCGCGACGGCGATGGCTCCCCTCGCCGGAGTAACGACCGGCCCTGCTGGACCATCGACCTCAACCTCCCCGCGGCGGCCGTCTCCGGTGACGACGACGACGCCATGGCCGTCGACGCCGCAGACGCAGACGCAGGCAGTGCTGGCCGTGCAGCAGCCTATGCAGGTACTACCACCTCGGAGGATATCTCAAGATGTATTAATACGTGATATATCACTTTGTAAATATGCATGTTTAAAATTAACTCCTACATCTCAAAATAAAATAAAACAATTTAATTGTGAATATACGTTAACTAGTTATAGTTTAATTTATTTTTTTTTCGTTTTTATTTTTTTCGTTGCGGGAGTAGAAGTTGAATTTGAATTTGCATGTGTGCTGGCGGAGAAACTTGGCTCGTAGGCTCGTAGCATGGAGCATTGCCCTGTTCGCATCATATCATACGGTTGAGCTCGATTTTTGCGAAAGAAAGAAAGGATTCCAATATTCTCACTGATGAATGATGATCAAGGTTGATAAAATGAGCGAACTCGATCAAACCAAACCAACAAATTTCGAAGAATCAAGTAGATTTACTAATGTATTGGCGTTGTTGGCTTGTTGCCGTCGCAGATCAAGAAGCACTGAGCGCGGCAAAGTGCAAGATCAAGCAGTGTCCTCGCGACGAACAGATGGCGAGCGCCACACCTGAGCTCATGGAGGAGGACGCGAGCAGCAGCAGAAACATGGTGCCCCTGTCCATGGCGCTGCAGCTGCAGTATGCGGCGATGATCGCCGAATGCGACCGCGAGATGGAGGAGATCGCCGCCGTGGAGAGGGACCTCGAGAGGCGCAGGAGGCAGGTGTTCGAGCGCAGAGGCCACCTGGTCAGGCAGGCCTCTCTTCTGCTCGACTGACGATCTTGCTGAACTGAACTCTGAATGTTTGAGCTTGTCTGAAGTCTGAACTCTGCACTATGCCATATGGTGTTTCACCTTCACTGTGAGGCTGACATGTGGGCCAGACGTCCGTTTGCCTTGCTTGCTTTTGAGCTGCAACTGGGCGTTGTGCTGCAAGCCTGCAAAGTGCCTGTGTAAAGTTTGTGGGATTGTGTGTGTGGATCTTGTATCCTTGTGACTTTGCAAGCTTTAATTTTGTGAGGAACAATAGTATTTTAGATTGGTGTGTAAAATATAGAAATAAATAATAGTAGCAACTAAATTTTGGTTTTCAGCTCTTCATCAGATGGTTTGTCATGGGAACAAAATTTCAAACATGAGCAAATTAAGGTCATGTTATTATCAATTGTGATAGATTTAATAATTACGTACTACCTCTGTTTCAGGTTATAAGGCTTTCTAGCATTACCCACATTCATATACTCCCTCCGTCTTATAATATAACAACCTAATACCGGATGTGACACTTTATAGTACAACGAATATGGACATGCTTCCTGTCCATATTCATTATACTATGAAGTGTCCCATCTAGTTATAGGTTTCTATATTATGGATGGAGGGAGTATATGTTAATGAATCTAGGCACGTATATATATGTATTGATTCATTAACATATATTTAAATGCGGGTAATGCTAGAAATTATTATAATATGAAACGGAGGAAGTAGGTGATAGGATCGTAAGGATGTTCATCATCTGTATAATTGTCCCGCATGTAAAAAAGACGAAATATAATTCGTGTCATCACATCAATCGTATGTGATTGCTCGAGCGTATTTACTAGTATCAATATCATGGTTCCTACCAAAAATAAATCGTCGTCATGAACTCATGGTACTTTTAATAGATTGGTATCATGGAATGAATAAAATGGATCCACTTTTTTCTAAAGGCTCCTATTTCAATTTTTTTTTTCAAAAGTGGCAAGGCCTTGTTCTTTTCTCCAACAAAAGTTCGATAAAATTTTTGATACACGCTGCACGCTTTTCAACTGCTAAATGGTGTGTTTCGTACGAAAACTTTCTATATGAAAGTTGCTCTCAAATATCAAATTAATCTATTTTTCATCAAGTTTGTATTGATTAAAACTTAACTAATAACACCTCAATACCATCTCGTTTTACATAAAACACTTAATACTATCTTTATCTTCATCTTTAAAAGAAAAGAACACCACCTTTGTTAGGATTAGCAATTCTAGTTGTTGCTTATGCCACACCTTTGGTTATTAGCAGGGGTGTCCATGAAATAACCAAACCTTGGAAGGGCACATGCGCATTTCTACCAGCATCTTTTTGCATCCGCGGCACACGAAGTAGGAGTATAAGGATAGCTGAGGGACTAAAGCGAAAAAATTCGCACGAACCCGAAAACCCTTTTCTCCATCGCCTCCCCCTCCGCCGCGCCGCCACTTCTCTCCTCTCCTCCTCTCGCCGCTCCCAGGGTTTCGCGCGAGATCTACTCTAGCATTCGGGCGTTAGGGTTCCCCGAGATGGCGAGCGAGCAGGCGGCGGAGAGCTACACGGTGGAGGAGCTCGTCGCCGTGAACCCCTACAACCCCGACATCCTCAACGACCTCGAGGGCTTCGTCAACGATCAGGTAAACCCTAGCCATGGGATACTTGCGGCCCCGTTTGATTTTGTTCGTGTGATTGTTGGAATTTTGCGAAGGATTGGTCCGTGGCTGTGCTGAAAAAGCCTCGCGCCTTCTCATGTTTACATGGTCCGCAAATCGTTAAATTCTCCTATGAAAAAAAAAATCCTGATTCATATGCGCTATGGCGATAGCTAGAAATAGCAGTATTTGTGTATTTTTTTCGGGCAGACTGTAGTGGAGCACATCGTTGTGGAGGAGTTGTGAATTAAGCGGCAGCACTTGTAAAGAGAATGGTTGCTGTTTGGTACATCAATAAATCTTATTGTCAGTCATCTCAATGCTAACTGATGGATTTTCAATTGATAATATCTGTTGTCGTTGGTCATGAAAGTGGCAAGATGGAGATTTCGGTCAGATGACACACATTCATATCAATATTTGACATGCTGTTTGGCTTACGATTTATAAAGAAACAAACTCAACAGACCTTTTTTTTGTGCTCTAGCTATTGTGAGTATGTGCATGCATCTTTTGTAGCTCATCTGTTTTATTCCAGCATATAAAGAAACAAACTCAACAGACCTTTTTTTTTGTGCTCTAGCTATTGTGAGTATGTGCATGCATCTTTTGTAGCTCATCTGTTTTATTCCAGCATAAGTTTTTGGTTCTAATGCTTTCAAATTTACCGACCTTTTCTTTTCATATAGGTTTCCAACCAAACATATAACTTGGATGCAAATCTTAGTCTTCTTCGTCTGTACCAGGTGACAGTCCATCTCTGTACAAACCGCTTTTACCCATATTTTGGCTCGAGTTATATGTTTATTTAATGATGCGTTTCCCTTTGCAGTTCGAACCAGAAAGGTTGAGTGTGCAGATTGTATCTCGCATATTGATTAAGGTCAGAAAAGAACTAATGTTAACATTAATAAATAAACAATGGTTTTTTGTTGATCACTTCCAACTGTTTTGCTCTCTTTATGTTGTTCTATTGACAGGCTCTCATGGCAATGCCAGGCCCGGACTTCAGCCTATGCTTATTCTTAATTCCAGAGCATGTGGTACGGAAACAATTCCCTGCCTCATGTATATGTCGCATCAAAAACTATCTATCTAATAAAATGCTATTGCGGATGCATCTTAAATAGTATCGATACCCAGTGATCTATTTGTTTTGGTGGTGATTGCCAAATTGACCCTGAAATAACATTATCATATATGTATGCCTAGAGATGTGCAATGTATATATATAATAACATGTAGTTGATGGAATAAAATCATATTCACCATGGATTTGGAATTTAAATATTTGTGCAAGGGAACAATCTTTGCCCATTTAGTCTTAGATATGTAGATATAACAGACCCGAATACTTTATACATTGTGTTTATTATAGCTGTACATCTAGTTCTTTTATTTGTTGGGCTCTGTTCTCTTATCATGTGAGTTTTGACCACTGTCCTCTATGCTCTTCTTATTTCAGCAAATGGAGGAACAGTTCAAGACGTTGATAGTTCTCTCTCACTACCTGGAGGTATGTATCTGGCTTGACTATTGTATATATGTTGAACAGTTAGTGGGATAACCACTGTTAACCGCAATCAACGTCTTTGTAGACTGCTAGGTTCCGTCAATTTTGGGATGAGGCGTCGAAGAACCGCAACATATTGGATGTTGTTCCAGGTATGTCTTGTGGAATTGGAGCCATGTTTTGTTCACACGTTGTGAAGTGGTAATTGTTGCAAGCTAGATGATTGTACTGGTATTTCCCCCTCCATTTTCCTGATTGATTTGGCCAATTGGGTGTGACTGATAAACTGTACCTTTTCTGATTACTTTATTTCAGCATTTTCTCGCACAACTCATATTTTAGAAAGTAACTTTGTGACTTATCATCGTTTAGACGTTTACCATGTGTTTATGTGGCATGTTCATGCCCGCGTTGTCATGTAAATGAGTATGTATTAGTATCCTAGATGCCCAGAGATTGGTTACCATATCAAGCAGTCTTGAGCGAACTTCTGTTTGATTCTTTCTACTGACTACTGAGGAATTCTTTTTAATCTAACATGAACTACCTATGGATTATTTTTATGAATGTTTGCTATATTGGACACTTTCTTATGGCAATTGATATGGATTCTTTCCGTTTGACCTAATGGTGAAGTGTTTTTTTTTTTTGAAACACTAGTGAAGGCTTACTTAACTAATCCCTTTACAGGTTTTGAGCAGGCAATCCAATCCTATGCGATACATGTGCTCTCCTTGACATACCAGAAAGTTCCTAGGCCTGTTCTTGCGGAGGTAAATGATGTCATTTTAAATTAATTATTACACGAGTCCTCGAGGGAGCATGAGTTTTCATTCAATCCTTTTTGTTTAAACTTTAGATGACCAAGGATTCGTGGTAATATTAAGTTTCATATTACTAATGCTACAAATATTTGTTACGCCAGAAGTGTCACCATCATCATCCAAATTTTGCTATCATTTAGGTGTTATTGGTTGCCTCGCACATGGATTGTCCCTTGTTGGCTGAAACTCATTACTTTTCTTTTCAGGCCATCAACATTGAGGGTCTTGCATTGGACAAGTTCCTGGAGCACCATATTGCAAACTCCGGTTGGGTGATCGAGAAGGGTGCACGATCTCAGCTGATTGTCCTTCCACGCAACGAGTTCAATCACCCTGAGCTCAAGAAGAACACAGCTGAAACTGTTCCGTTCGAGCATGTAACTCGCATATTCCCTGTCCTTAGCTGAGTCAACAACCAGACCAACTGAGATTTTGCATTACAGAACTTCTGAGCGCGTGAAGATACTCTGGGCGCATCTGTTTTCTCTGCTGTGATGTACTGCGTTTTGATATGCCTGTTTTAGCTAAACAAGTCAATTCTAGTGACGATCCGAGCGTCATATCTGCCTAGTTATGTTTATGTAAGCATTCTGCCATGATATTACATTGTTGGCAAGATATTTTATCAGGTCAGAGCAAAATTTTGCATAGCGGCCGTGTTCGGCTTTGGGCACAACTCGATCTTCCATTTACCACGAGACTACAACCATTCCTCGTTGTCAGATTTTTGCGATTGCTAGTGTTCTGTTGCGTAGGGGACTCATTGTGAAAAAAAAAACCCGTATGTGGTCGGTGTAAAAACGGATTGGTTTTAGCCTATTTTTTCGTACGGAGTTGGCTTGTAGTAGTTGCATTTTTTTACCAGTTTTCGTTTAGTTTTCCGCAAAAGTGGGGAGTGGTTTTGACTTCCAAAAACAGGATAATAAACTCTTATTACCACAAGCATCTCTTAGAAAAAACAAATATGTATATCATTTCATCGAGCGAAACAGCTTGGATATCGATTTTTGTTGTCGCTGGCAAAAGAAACCGCCCAAATTCATATTGAGGAAAAAGGAGTAAATTCACATGAACAGGGGGTCTTTCTGCAAAAAGAAAAAAAACTTGGGCCGGCCCATGCACACCCTGCCCAAGGAGAGTCGCTGCCTCACCTAAACGCCAATTAGGGTTTTCAGGGGGGCGGAGATATAATGACATAAAAGCCCCTCTCCTTCCTCCTCCCTTCTCCTTCGCGCCGCCACTCTCTCCGAGCTCTCGCCTCTCCTCCTCCCCCGTCTTCCCTTCGCGCGCGCCACCCCCACACACGCGACCATGGCGGCAGTGGCAGGAGGCGCAGCGCGGGCGCTGTCGCAGGCGGAGCAGGACGTGCAGATGATGCTCGCCGCCGACGTCCACCTCGGCACCAAGAACTGCGACTTCCAGATGGAGCGCTACGTCTACAAGCGCCGCTCCGATGGTACGCATGCACCCACCCCCACCTACAGGCATCTCACCCGGCTCTGCTTGTTCGTCGATGCTCACAGCTAGCCATTACAATGTTCTTGCCATGAGATTTCCTACGTAGGATAGGTTTACCATGTTCTTGCCACTAGATTTCCTAGGTTGGATTGGTGTGGATTGTGCACTTGTATCATAGTGCTCGCCTTTGTTCATGCTTTGTTAGTATCCTAGCTTTAGCTAAGTATCCAACTTGTTGTGAGCTAGAATTATTACGGCATGGTGCTCAACTTGATCTGATTTCGTGTCATATCGTGTGTGGCATAGTTGCATTGCAACCTGTTGCAAGGTATGCTGCTGTTCTTTTGGGAGGGTATCTTGAATATGAATACGTGAACATCGTTGCTGCAATTCATAGGTATCTACATCATCAACCTCGGCAAGACATGGGAGAAGCTGCAGCTCGCGGCGAGGGTGATTGTTGCCATTGAGAACCCCCAGGACATCATTGTCCAGTCGGCCCGCCCCTACGGCCAGCGCGCCGTCCTCAAGTTCGCGCAGTACACTGGCGCGCACGCCATTGCTGGAAGGCATACGCCTGGTACATTTACCAATCAGCTCCAGACCTCCTTCAGCGAGCCCCGTCTGCTCATCCTCACTGACCCAAGGACCGATCACCAGGTGAAAATGATCACCATGTCACGGTAGTGCGTTGGTGAATTGGGTACAGTATTGTTTACTGATCGTGTTATCCTGAATTATGTCTGCAGCCAATCAAGGAGTCTGCTCTGGGAAACATCCCGACCATTGCCTTCTGTGACACCGATTCCCCAATGCGGTATGTCGATATCGGCATCCCGGCCAACAACAAGGGGAGGAACAGCATTGGGTGCCTGTTCTGGCTCTTGGCTAGGATGGTTCTGCAGATGAGGGGTACTATCCTCCCTGGCCACAAGTGGGATGTTATGGTATGCGGTGTTATTACTTCAAGAACACGTTGACATTGGAAGTGCATTCATGAAGATAATTTCATATCCTTTGTATGCTTATACACTGAGTATGTCTTTTGCAGGTTGATCTGTTTTTCTACAGAGACCCTGAGGAGGCCAAGGAGCAGGAGGAGGAAGCTCCAGCACAAGACTTTGCTGCCATCACTGATTACACCGCACCTGAACAATGGTCTGCTGACCAGTGGACCTCTGATGTGGCTGCTCCCCCAGCTGCTACTGTTGGTGATTGGGGCGCAGCTCCAGGTTTGTGGTTTATCCCCTTCTAATATATTTATATTTTTAACCAGGTATATAACTGTTGTGGACCTCTGAATTTTGTTCTTGTGATGCTAAAAATTTCATATCATTGGAATATTCTTGAAAAAAACTGTTGTGCTGATTGCTGCTCATACTGTTAGCAATTGTCTCTTCGTTTTCCTGCATAGGCTGTAAAATTTACATGCCTTAAGCGCTTGTACTAACTTGGAACTGATCATTCTCCCTTTCTGTGGCAGCTCCAGTTGCTGCTGCCGAAGGATGGGATCAAGCAGGAGCACCCGTAGCCACTGAAGCCGCCGTCGTTCCACCGGTTGCGCCTACTGGATGGGACCCGGCAGCTCAACCAGCTGCTCAAGGCTGGGATTAGGCTAGGCAATCACTTTGAGATGTCTTCCGCAGCTTAAGTTAAATATTTCCCGAGGCATGAATGAACACCCAAAATCCAATGTGATCATCTATAGCTACACCATGAACTCAACTGTTTTTAGGAATTTCTAGCTGAACCTGTGTTGTTTGTCCGTCCCTATTTCGAACAACAATGCTGTGAGGGTGAGCTCGGCAAGATGTGTGGTATATGTTAAGCTTTCTACTTTTGTCCTAAGTTTATTCTGTAGCGTTTATATCAATCTTTTCCTCGGTGCAATGGCATGGTTCTATACGCTCAGTTTGTTATTCAAATCTGGTACTTGTACAGTTTGAGAAATGTTGTGCGGAAACAAAAACAATTTCCCAAGACGTGAATGCATTTTATCCCTTCTAATCTCCACCTAAACAGACGTGCTGCCTCACTGAAACTTAGTTCTAAGGGCTCTACTCTACTGATGTACGTGTAAAACAGATTTACCATGCATTTCAAAACCTGAAAAATCCTAGGAAAGAGCAATTTTTTTTGGGGGGGGGGGGTGTATTTCTATTGGTTCAAAATCATATAAACTCAAGGCGTGCAAAGGTTTCCTTGGGCTAATGGACATTGGTCCTCAAGTACAAAGGCAGAAAGGAGCTTGACTGCAAGACTCATCTGTCGAGCAAAGACGAAAGTCGGCCTTGGTGATCCGACGATGCTGAGTGGAAAGGCTGTCGCTCAATGGATAAAAAAGTTTAAATTATGTTTCTCTTTCAAATTAAAGGGGCCCTAGCGACCAAACGATTTTCCTAAAAATCAAAAGATACAACCAAAGTATTGCAGCAGTTGCACAAACCTGTATCTTGATTCGTTAATATAGTAATTTCCCATCATGTTGCAACAGCACTCCCATTCATCATGGAGTTCAGGGTTCATGCAAGACAATACTGGTAACATGAATCAGCAGGACCCCAGAAGAAAATTAGTTCATGCATCAGGTGCAATTTCATACATCTCTGGAAAGGAAAAAAAAAAACACACAACCAGGCTGACTGAAACATTGGCTTGACAACTCATTTCCTCCTGTACCGTGTGGCCTGTTAGATTGTCTCGCAATCATTACCGTGTTGCCAACGATTAGTGTATTTTGTACAGTGAAGACTGAAAAGGCAAGTTCCATACAGAGAGCAAGTAAAGTAAAAATTGGTAAATATGTATAATACTATAACATATTTACAACAGGGATTAGCATTTCCATTTTTTTTTCATTTTTGTTTGAGAAGTTCTTTTTTCTGTTTTATCCTTTTCCTATAACATATTGCCAAAGATTCTAACTAAGCTAACCCTTGCAAAGAATGTGATATATGTTTCTCCTATTTATTGTCTTCAGTATGGTCAATTCTTCTTCACCATAGAAATTCAATCGTGTACCTCAACCGAACCGAGTCAGAATGGTTTCATATTCCCCAATGGATTGTCATCTTTGAGCACTTTCTCTGGGCAAACCAAGTTGATGTTTCTTCCATTTGTTGTGATGATCTCTTCGATCACGAGACCGTTGCAGTTTGCAGCAGATGTAGCTTGACTTCGAGTGTTTCCTTTAATGTAGCTGCGATAGCTTCTGCTGTTGAATCCTTTTGCTGAGATGTCACCAAGACAATTTTATAGCTCTAGTAGCAAAGCATGCCTCCGCCATCCACCCAATGCGTGAAGCGGTCAGAGTAGTCACGGATGTCTGACATTTGGCTGCTTGAGCGTGACAGATCTGTGTCATCTCTTCCCTGCTAAGGAGGAAAAGTTTCAATATCAATAAATGTACAGAGTAAATGCCTGATGGCAGAAAGAACGCGTCGATAGATTACATTTGAAAAATGTAAAATCTGGGTTGGAACAAAACAAATGTACAGCAAGCTTGAGTGGCATATATCTCTACTATTATAAAAATTGAAGATGTTTTTGCCGGTATTTTGGTACGTCATCCGCGTATGAGTCGGTTTTCAAGTCCGTTCGCTTTTGGAAATACAAATCCGTATTTGAGACAGTTTTGAGTCAGTTTGTAAGTTCGTTCGCTTTTAGAAATACAGAAGAAATCGTATAAGAAATCTCTTTAAAAACTCACATACTAACTTGAGACGATCGGACACCTAATTACAGCTCATGATTTTCTAACAAAATATATATCCAAGCGAATTTAACACAGTGAATTTCATCTTAACTCGATATAATAATAATAATAATAATAATATTAATATTAAAATAGCCTTTACCCGTTGCAATGCACGGGCATTTTTTCTAGTAATTTTAAAAAGAAAAGAGGGGAAAAGACTGACCTCATCATTGTGTCCCTGTTCACTGTATGATGTAGTTGATTCAATACTGACAACATCCATGGGTGAATTGATGAGTGATGACCTGTAAATGAGTTTGAAACATCTTATTACCGTTAACCATTACAGCAGTTCCCTCCAAAAAAATGAAATAAAATACTATAGTGTGAGTAATATAACATCTCAGCCTAGAATTCACTCCTTTAGTTGCCAGATCAAGGGGATAGAATTTGTGCAGTTGGATATACAAATAAATCACAGATGTGTTACCTCTCATAAATTTCCTCCTCACAAGAATTTCCTGAAGATGATAACAGATCAAGATCAAGAAAGTTTGAAGAGTGCAATTCAGGATAACCCAATCTTCTCAAATAATTCTGCCGCTCTTCTGAAATTGAGTGTCTCCCAGACAATGTGCTATAGTTTGTACTGAACATGAGAAAAATGCAGTTAGTTCATAGTATGGACAATCTGAAGTTCTCCAACAACCACCAATTCGTTTTCAAACAAGGATAGAGCACCTGGAGCACGGGTTAGGTTCTATAGAGATCTCTGGTGCAGAATCAGAAGGTTCTCTAATATCCTCCAGTGGTTGCATTGGGAGCAATTCTGAGCTTGTGTTGTTTTTTCCAACATTACAGTCAGATACAGGTCCACCAGTGTTGTCACATAAAATATTACCGTCCGATAACGACCTCTTTATGAATGATCTGCTGATATGAAATATGGATGTTACTAAACTAGACATGGAAATTCCAAAATTCAATAAAATAATATAACAAAAACAAAGTACAATTGGCAGAACCACTAATTGACCAGATTCTAGATAGCTTGGGTAACCCAACACATCATTATATCAGCAATTAATACCAAGATAGGTTCTACCTTAAGCTAATCAACATATTATATTCTAGATCATTGATTATCATTACTAGGTGGAACATCCAAATATAAGTTCTCTGTGTGAATGAAAGGCTCTCACACCCTTATTAATTTGCAGTTCCAAGACAAAGTTTTAGTATTGTTCAATCCAAACGAGCAAACAGGCAGCTAGAGCAAAATAAAATGGTGACACCTTTTGAATTTATAACATGGATTGAGAAGTGAACAGTGTCAGATTTACTTGGAATCTTTCATATTCCATATGATTGTCTGGTAAACTGTCTAAATATAAGCTGAAGTTGTACTGCATATTACAGCTTTCTGAACAACATTTCTTAATGGAAATTGACTTCAGTACCTCCCAGTTTCTTCAGTTAAAGTTCCTTGCCTGCCAATGTTGTAATGCTGATCTGAGTCCAATTTCCAAAGCGCAGGTTTTCCTTCTTGTGGTTGGAAATGACCCAAGAACCTGCAATTCTAAAGTCAGACAGACCCGTTTGTGGTAATATACTAGAGCGATACCAACAGCTCCCATGGTTCTGTCATATAATTTTCTCCGAGAATTCTGCCTATTGTACATGTATAGAGTAATACAGACATGAGAAGCTTACACATTTATAGAATCCTGCTTCTCAGGATCAGTGTAGGCATTACTGTAGTAGCGCTGAAGGGTCCGGAGGAACTCCTGAGATTGTGTTGCTGCCTTCCATTGGCCTCTTTGCTCACAGAAGATCTGTAACATATATCAGCAGTATGGAGTACTCAGACAGTCAGACTAATAACTCAAAAGAGAAGTTTGGACTTTTGGGGTGTAAAGAAAAAAAAATCTTTAGAAGAAAAATAATATTATGACTATTGACTTCACCGCCAATTAAGAAGAAAAATCGCTTTGAAAGAAACAAAAATAGGACAATTGAATAAGAATATGAAGAAGGGTTTAATGAAAGATGCATTTGTTTGAGAATTGTATTACACAGTAGAGGAAGCACAAATTATGCTCCAACGAGTCAGTAAATAGAATTAAGCAAGTACCTTGTTGTGAGCAGCAGAGCCACCATATTGAATAGCTAGCGTATCACCCATCCGTTCATAGAAATCCATAAGATCATCGGCCAAAGGAGCATGCAATTCAATTGTAGGGGTTTCATTGAGCTGGAGCACATGAAGTTGACGCCCTAAAGCAGCTAAGCCATACGCAAACTGTGCAACATTTGTGCGGTCCAAGCAGTCTATGCAGTTAGTCCTGAGGACACCCTTTTGCAGTAAAAGAGGTACTAGCTTAGTTGCACATAAATTTTGATCCTGGATGTTTTCGATGTCACCTGAGTTGGCAACAGCTCCTTGTCCACTGATGCATTTAAAAAGAAAAAAAATGCATTAGTACTGTTATGTGAGCTCATAAGATAAGACCAAATAGGAGAGCAGCTACTCCCAATTGTTCCAAAAGCTGCCTTATTTGTGTGTTCTACTGTTCTCCAAGGCACAGCTTTGACTAATCCAAAGAATGAATATGTTACAGGGTAACATCATGAAGGAACATTTTTTGACAAACAACATCAGGTAGTTTCTGGTGGCCAGGCAAAATTTTAATATAACTCTTATAACTCTTAAGTAGGCCAAATGTTACCTTGATGCATCCTCATACTTTGATGTAGTTATCTCACAGTGGAGGAAGTCAGTTAGATCCAACACATCTGATGCTACCTTGTTCAACAGCGAAAGCACATTGGTACCTTTCCTGTAAATAGCACTTAGTACTTAACATCGAAGGCAATTTACAAGTAATTACAAGCTTGAATCCTAATGGCTTGGATATAAGATTTCCTTGGAGTACGATACACTACCTTCTAGAAAGCTTACTCAGATCCATGTGTAAAAACTTTAGACGTTTGTCATCTGGCAGCCCCTTGTTAATATAATGTATAGCCTTTGCGAATTCTGCACGGAGCAAAGATTCACGAGGTTTCTTCTCACGAGTCTGAAAAAAATACAAGGGACCCGAAATGGATATGAGAACTCCAGATTGATAACAAAGAACATAAGGTCGTCAATATGGCAATTAAATTTCCTTTTCAGAAAAAAAATATTGCAATTAAATTGATAGATATATAAGTCAGTAGTGATTCACATGTAAACTATCAAAAAAAAATCCATCAGAGAATAAACCAAATTTGTATTCCACACTTATTCTCACCTTGATCAAGTTTAAGATAATTATTGGGTTCCCATATCTAAGTGCAAGGTTCTCAAAATGAAGGCGAGTTGTCTTGTAGTCTACATCCGGTTTCACTGCAGGTAGCAAGGTGATTGGAGTATTAGAGAAGACAGTCTACAGATGGCAAATGCATGACAGACTGACAGTCTAGAACTTACGTATGATATCTGGCCTAATGTTGAGTCTTGAAGTTTCCTGAAACCATATAAGAGGTATGGATCCTCTATGTTGTACAACAGATGATATCTGATGTGGTATTTCATCTGGTGTGTCCTCAAAAACAATTTGTTCAGTCTCAACATCATTGGCAACCCTACCCTTTTCATTAACACCTCTTTTCAAGAATCTGTATTTGAAAATGACATGCAAAATTAACATTGTAAGATCAGGCGACATAGATTACATTGTTTAGGCTCCATTCTTTTCAACATAAATTAGGGTGCTAAACCCAAAGGATTGTAATGCAAACCTGGTTCCAGCAAAATGACGTGAGCGCCTTGCTATAAGTGTCAACCAGAATTCCTTCCCAGCTACTGAGAGCTTTGACTGTGCAACAAAATATGTTTAGCATGGCTCTGTGTATAATACTTGACAGATGAAAGTATGAAACACAGTACTTACATAATGAAAATGCAAATAGAGTAGCAATAAGAAGTTCCTATTTATCAGAAACATTTAGAACTGCCAATCATACATGTCCTAATTCAAAGGTCTTGAACCAGGACCAAAGAACCTCAACGGCACAACGCTTACCGTTTAATAAACATTACAGATAAGTATAAATAGCGCTGTAATTTCACATCTAAGCATTGGTTTGCTAAGACTGCACAAAGGGGAATTTAACAACTTAGGAAAAGCATTAACAGTCTGCTGAGACTTACGAGCAAAATTTTCGACTCGGGAAAGCCTCAAGAAGCTCAAACTGATAAATGTCAGCAGGTTATACAAAGCCATGCCTTTGCAAACCCTTTATTTCGAGCTTTCACTACATGTCAGGTCACACATTGTGGAGTAAAACACAAAAGTTAGTGGGATGGCATTGAGTTAGCAGTATCCCTACTTGTGGTCTTCGTTGATGAATAGACAGTGCTGGATATGCATAAGCTCATCAATTAGAGATGAAAAGAATGGATCGCATCAAATGCAGTATCGGAGACTTAGAATGTTGCAGCAGAATACCTGTTTAAAAAATCCATGGATTAAGGCAACAGTCCACGTTGTATTCTTGAGATGGTTCCGGATAGCTCGAGACAGAAACTCGTTCCAAACAAACATTGTCTCATAAACAACTTGCCCAGTATTCTTGTCAGTTATGTTCTTCTGAAGGCTGCGCATGATATTGTAAGAGTAGCTGAAGAAGAAGTCTTTCGAGAGATCGACCGAGCAAAGGAGCCGTTTATATCTACAAAAAGTGAAAGGTAAAAATATAAATATCCGCAGACAATAGAAATGAGAAAAACTCTAGATATAGTATATTTAGAATCATACTAAGAAGAATATTAGTGGATCAAAGAAATTCGAAACAATTCTATATACCTCTGACCTTATGAACACCACACACAATGCTCAGAACTGCAAGAATTGACGTATGCACCGACCGTATGAGTAGGGTGCATATTATTATCAACAAGAAAATTGTATACTTAAAGGCAAAGTGATATTAATTGCACACACAGAACAACTGGAATTGCCCAGGTTCAACTACAAGCGTGAATATATGAACAAAAACTTATCTGAAAGATATGCAGATAGACACACGCACACAAAAGAAAATTGTCATAGAAAAGAAAAACGTGAAATCAAGGACACTTTGGCGCCGATAGTGCACATTGTCTCATCACAATGTAGCAAACAAATGAACTGAAATATTACGAGAAGGAAAACTACAAAAGGATAAATGAATACAAGCACTATGATATGTCCAGATACAAAACAAAGCAAGCTGGCATCTTTCATATTGCTAGGAACCAGCGATGGATTTACAACAGGCAAAGCACAATATTTACACATAGAAAAAATGAAAGACCTGTTCTCATCCCTAGAATAAGCCACGTTGGGCCACACAATAGGACTTGGAATTGCAATCAATTCGCTCTTGCCGACAGAATATATTTCATGACTGCAGATTGTACCAACTTTCCTTCTTCTGGTAATTAGAACCATGTAATAAGGGCCAAGAAATTTTATAAAACCTGAGTAAAGCAAAGATGGAGTAAATGTTATAATTTGAAGTTTTGAACTACCAGGAAGTTTGATCAATAAACAATGGTATCTCAGTTCCTGTTTCATTACCAACTATTCCATAGCATTTCGTGACAAATTTCAGTCCACCAGTCAATCTATTCCCCTCATGAATTCGCCACAGCAGTTCTTGGCATTCATTCTCTGTGTAACTTGTATGATCTTCCTCGATTTCCAGCTCAGTAGGCTCCATCCTGTCAATCTTCAGCACCCTCCATAGAGTCCTTGTCTTGTCCCTTCCGATAAGATAAAATTTCTACAACAAAAGATCAAACTCATGTCAACTCAACAAAAGTTAAACAAGGGATAATTTTTAGAACAACTTTAGACATCAACACTCCCTTGTAGCAATGAAACAGTCATTGAGGAAGAAAAATAGCTCCTATAAATTGTTGCTGTACAAATAGAGAAACCTTGGTTTCTGCATCACGAAGCTGAAAGCTAACTACGCGTTGAAAATCCCAATATATATACAGTAATGCACAAGATCAGCTCAAACAATGTATTTTGGCACTAGCATAGCAGGATTCAATTACACATTCGTGGGCAAACAACACGGCGGTTCAGCATCCATCAATAAACAAAATCTTTTTTAGATAATGATGATTAAACAAGATCATCAGAAAGCAAATGTTTAATCTGCCTGAAAAACGATAGCCCCCTTTAAGAAAAAATCCCCCCTTTATAAGTTCTTTTTTTAAACTCTCTTCTCCCCTGCAAAAGAAAACAAAAGGAGGGATCTTCCCTCACCTTTTTGCAGCCTTTTACCCTATAACAAAAACGAAGCGAACCAATCATAAAGGAGATCCCTCACACAGACAGTGAGGACATTAAATCACTCAAGAATCTAATCAACCATAAACGAACAAAAACACAGCCATTATAACAAAGTAAAGCGCGTGAGCTTCAATTGCTGACACAAAGATCTCTCCATATATATGAAACCTACAACCCAATTCAAACCAAATCAAAACGATGAGAAAACAAAATTTTGCAAGAGGATCCCTACCGATCTGGTCTCGTAGAGCCGGAACTTCTGAAGGAATTTGTCGCCCGCCATAGCCTCCATCAGATCAGATCAGCAAAGCAAACCACACGACCACCGCGAAATCCAAACCAAGAAAATTCAGAGGGGAAAAACAACTCCGCGTAGTTCAGCTCCTCGTCGGCTGCTTCAAATAGAGCATCCTGCTCGAGCACACCAAATGCTCCAGGGAGAAAATCCAACCAAATCTCTCACCTCTCGGATCAAGAACGCACCAACAACGCCCAGAGAACCACTCAGACAGATCGAAATCGATCCAATTCCCCCCAAGATACCCCCAGAAAGGGCGCACCTTTGGATCTCCAATAGATGCAAAACACCCGTAAAATGGGATTAAATCGAGCCAAAATCAGCGGGCTCGTCAGCAGCAACAAGACGACGAAATCACGCGTAAAAACGAGAGCTTTGGCCGCCCAGAGGGGGGAAGAGAAGGATCGTAAATAGGAGTAGGCAAAATTCCCTGTGCAAGAATGGATTTTTGTGAGAGATAGGGAGGAGAGGATGCGAGGAAGGAGGAGAGGGGGGGAAGACGATGGCCACAAGAAGCTTGCGACGACGCCGTCGTCCACAAAAACACGCAGAGAAGGGGAGAAAACGCGAGAGTGGAAGGGGGCTAATACAAATCAATCAATCATTGCCGCAACCGCATCTCCTTGAGCTGGATTTATATATACTTTCTTCTTTTTCTTTCTTTCTTTCTTTTTTTTTTTGCTACTAGTGAGCAACTTTGCTTTGTTTTGTTTTGTGCTGTCCAAGAGGAAACTGGTAAATGCCATCTTTTTGTTGCATACGACGAGGTAACAGTGAACATTATGAGAAATTCAGGATGCAGATTTTGTTTTCCATTACAGAGAATAATGTGTTGTTTGTAATAAATGGATAATAAGTTAATAGTATGTAAAAATGATGTACTCCCTCCGGTTTCTTTACAGAGGAGAATGTGATCTTTTATTGAATGGAATATAAATTACTACTAGGATATGTGGGTCAGTTTTTTCGCCGAATAACTGAATGACTGAATAGTTGATTGAATAATCACTATTACGAGAGTAAAAATAAATGAATTAACTATTATAATGTTAAAAGTAGATTTAAAATATTTTAAAAAAATTATATATATAAAAAGTTCTTTTCTGAAGCTCGCACGGTTTAGAAGCCCATGAAGTATACCACTGTCGCTCAATGCATCCTTAAAAAAATACACATCCTACAAGTAGTATAATTAACTGTCGACGATAAATGGAAGTTAGGAATAGCTCAACACATCTAACCTAAGTAGATATTGTATATAAAAGGTATAATTGACTAAAGCAATGATGTAGTATTCAGAAACCTCTACTTACAGATCTGAATCTGAACTTACTTTTTTATTTCCATTTATGAATGAGGAAATACTAACCAAAAAAAAAAAAAGAACTGAAAGGCATAACGCAAGCTACTGAATAGAATGACCAGAATATGCTTAGGCTGGACTTCAACTAACAGAGCATCAGAGTGGAGTACTTTCAGGTAATAGTGCGAGCATCCATATGGCATTCTTTTATTCAAATACTGACAAGAATGACTGTGGGTTCATGCAAGATGCCATCTCTTGAAAAAGTTTGAAGCACACAAAGGAAGTACTTCAACTTATTTTCCTTGTGAAAAGCTGCATATCCATCCAATAATAATTAGATTAAGATAATCCCCTTTTCAATATGCAATTGTTGCAGAATAGCATGTACCCCATGAAGCATATGAATATTCCACTAGGAGGAACTGTTCTTACCAAATCTATCATTGGCACAATTTACGGTCTATCAGGATTCAGGTATAACTACTTAAATTAAAAACGAAGTTTTTGTTCCCTTTACATGTGTGGAGTGAACAGCATCACCGGTCTATTCTCCAGGACCACTCACCCTTTCATCACCCAACTCTCAAATTGCAGCAGATGTGTTCAAGAAAACGAACATCGTCCAGAATAGTCTACCAAATTAATGAGCCAGTGTACGTGCATTTTCTTTTTCTTTCATTTCTTTTTTTAGTTTTTGATTTGGACAAAGATCTTATCCATACAATCGAGGACTCACTCATGACAAGCAGCAAGTCTATTACCATTAGATATTATCAACCCCCAGTTAACCACAGTACTTATCTCAACATTATCACATCACTGGCATCAACATCACCGTGCATGATCCTAACCCAGCTTTTTTTTTTTACATTACCTTTTAACCCAGCTGCCTGCTGGATTCTAGACAAGTGTTGCATCCAGATCATCTCGGACACATATGAGGCACGAGATGGTTAATCTCGTACATGCGTTTGTCAAGGCCTTTTTGACACCTCCTCCTCTTCCTCTTCTTCCAATCTTTTGACCTCTTTTTGTGCATGTTGTTGTTGCAACTTTGTAGGCACTGGAGAGTGTGACTTTGTGGGGTTAGGTGTGTGACTATCCCTTTTCCACATGGATTTCAAGGTGAAGGAGAACAAGTGGCCATGGGCATGGCCATGTAGCAAGATTGGGTCACTGGTAAGTAGCAACAGTGATCACCTTGCCAAACACAAAGCCATCATCCTTTATGTCCCTTTTGGGTAGGTAGCTCTGGTAGGAACAAGTCCACAATTATTATAGTAGTTTTACAAAAAAAAAGAATTTCAGAAAAAAAATAATGTTCTTGAAAAGCTGATATGATCTTTCTGCTACTTCCTATGATTTCTGCATTGTTCATCTTGAGCCTCAGCTTGACATAGGATTTTTTTTAGAGTATTAGTCAAACCTAGGTAGGTTTAGCAGTTGGGACACTGCCTTGGCTCTATCCTACATAGTTTTAGCGGCCCAGATAGCTTTGACATATACTCCTACGGTCATAGATAGGATAGTAGTATTGTCTCCTCCAAAAAGAAACTTACTTTTTCACTTGTCCAAATTCATGTGTATAAAAGTGAAAAATTGGATGAGGGATGTATACTCAGCTGTCATAGATAAGATAAGGCATGCTCGACTGCTTGCAACTACGGCTGCTCTGCAGCAGTCAGCAGAAAAGCCAGCACGTATAGTTCTTCGTAAAAAAGATCAATCATCTAAAGAATGATGTTACTAGATTTATCATTAAACAAACTATCATAATATATAACTCCTTTTATTTAAAACATCTTATTTTTAAAATATTATTGGTTAAAATAGCATTTTAAAAATATGTCGAAGTTCAAAAATACTTATATTTTAGGATGGAGGGAGTACTTACATATAAAATATTACTATCTCATTAAAGTGATATTACTATCTCATTAAAGTGAAATCTTTTTAGTACTGAGGAAGTACGTGCATATGAGAGCACCCCTCCAATAAAAAAAAAAACAAATCCTAGCTAGGAGTTGCTTTTTTTTATAGAGTAGTACACCTGAGGTCATCTGACACATTCATCAGCTTAATTCTCATATTATTGCAACATTCATCAGATCACTCTACTAGTGGTAATTAATGTGTAAAGCAGTTGCCTGTCCTGCTACACATTGTCTCACAGAACAGTTCAACAGAGAAGTCAAAAGCGAGCTCGTACTTGTGAATAGTGTTGGCCAATTAATCACGGAGTCATGGTTTTATTGGCATTTAGCTCATTAGCTGGACCAATTATTTCCTCATGGAGTGTTGATTTGGTGGCACATCAAAAAGTCCTAAGCTTAGTGGTTTGATTTGATCACACACACATGAGATCCACGAGGTGTGGAGATGTCATGCTTCTGACGAGGAAGACGCTGATGTTTTAGTTGGCTAGCAGGTTAATGTTTCTTATGTTCAGATTAGCACTATAGATTAAGGTGAAAATGCAATGGAGTAAGTGACAGGACAATGCAGAGTATAGCGCTAGTTAAGATAGGCCTAAGCTTGATTATTGCAAAATGCAAATCATGTGTTACTCACCAAACATACTGACTAGTAAATTACTAATCAAACTGAAATTATCCGCATGCTCTAGATATAATAGTTCTGAACTAGTACACATACAACTTGACCAGTTTAAAAGGAGTTTACACCCCACATCAGTCGATAATAAAACAATACATTGACGTTCATTTCATAGTTAACTTGAGCGCCACTTAAACTGGTATGATTGGTCGATTGATCCGAGTCAAGTCTCGTAATTTAACCAAGAAAAAATCATCTCAAATGCCAAGTGAACTATTTGCAGCCCAACAACCAGAACATGACACATGCAATCCACCTGTCAGCAGCCTCTGTATTTTTATGGAGAGGTACCCATCTGTCAGTGTCACTTGTGCTGAAATTCCACGCCTGCATATGCTTGCGTCCCTCTCGGATCGACCTCTTGCTCAAGTCAATACAGGTTGGCTAACCTGAATTCTACTAATTAATGAGGTGTTTTTGAGTCGATACATCCATGTGGACCAGGCAGGCTAGTGTCTCCTTGCAACAACTTACGATCGGTTTTCTTAGTAGTAGTATTATGTATAGGAAACAAAATAAACCCTGTATCAATGCTAGAGAACTGTTTCTAGGTACATTTTAAGCAAGCATAATAGTCGATTATAATTTGTGACGAATACGGGATTATGGAGTTAAAACCATACACCCATTGCTACTGTACTATCTTAAAAGTATTTATTTTCATCTAAAATAAAAATAAAATGATTCATCCAAGTAGTATCGATGTACTCGCAGCTTCAAATTCATGATTTTTTTGGATTTAGGATTCAAAATACCTAAGCCTAAATAATGTAGAGCTGTTGTTACAAACATGACCGACCATAGTGTGTTTCTTCCACCCTGATTAGAGTGAAGGCAACTATAACTTCTCTTAGACTGAGTTTAGTTCTAAACTTTTTCTTTAAACTTCTAACTTTTTTATCATATCAAAACTTTCCTACACACACAAATTTCTAATTTTTCCATTACATTGTTACAATTTCAACCAAACTTTTAATTTTGGTGTGAATTAAACACACCCTTAGTTAAAATATATGGACTTCTGACCGGTGTTATGGCACCCAACAGCAAAGCCCTGTTACTGCACAGCAACAATCCGGACCATCGTTATTTCACCATGTGCTCTAATCCTAAAGCTAATGAAATTAATAACTATGGTTAGGAAGCAAACATCCACTCCGTACACACGTAGAACTAACTAACAGATTCTTTGTTTTTTAATCTGTTCATGCTGTGTGTTTGCATTCACCCCAGCAGGGCAACGCATGCAAAACAACGCAAGTAACGTAACCGGTAATCACACGCAATTAATCTCGTCAATCAGATTAGATTAATTACGTGCACATCATCCGTGTCCAGAGATGATCAGTAAGGCTGGCACGACACCGATATATACCTATCGATGGATGTCGTTAATACGTGATGCTGTTTCCATCGCTTGCTTAACGCATGCTTTTCTGATTAAATTTATTCAGATCAGATCAGCAGCAACTTGATTTCAGTTTCCGATTTGGCCTTCTCTTGGACGGGATCGCCGGTGACGTACGTGCCATTCGTTTAATTAGCATCACCCGTTGAGTGATTAGCATGTTTAACCAGCATGTGATTAGACTAGTTCCGACCGGATTAATTACGTTAACTGATCAAGCTAAGCAAGCTTGTTTCTGATTCAAACACCCCGTCATGCATCTAGTTGAGGTAATATA